GTTGGTACCATTTTGGAAGCCATAAGTCAACTGTACAAAAAGTGGGGGGCTGATGTAACGTTACATTAGCACCACCGCGGAAATTTGGTTTTTTGGGGCATTTGGGGAGGTGTACAAATGTTTATACCAGGATTACAAATGTGTACAAATGAAATAACAATCGTTGGTATATTTTTTTTTTTCAAATTTTGAATATGGTGGTGCTAATGTAACGGACCTAAAATTACATTGTATTTATAATGTATTTATATTGTTTTCATAATAATGTATCATAATATATTCAATTTTATGTTACTATTATTTTTGGCCACCTAAATGTTATTCTAACCCACTGTGGACCGGCTAGATCTAACCAGCCTACATGTATCAATAATAAAATAATAATAATTATAAATTATTATTGATATCGGTGTATAGGGCTCATCATGGTCTTCTAAACAGGGGCGTCATTTCACATTTTTTCATGGGATGCAAAACCAATATTGAAAATCTAAAGTAATAGGTACCAGTTGCTCGCATGGTCATCCCATAAATTTTTTTCAACAGCTTTTTTGCGTAAATGTAAATCATTTCATAGAAGTTATACTATAAAAAAAATAACAATAATGTTATTAACAAAAATGGTTTTTATTTTTTTTTAACACAAAATTATATAAATCACCACAGCAAATTGTTCAATAATCAATTAGATCAACGATTTCCAAACTGTGTACCGCGATGCCCTAGAGGCACCACGACCATTTTCTAAGGGCACTACAGTCTACGTACAGTTCATAACAAATAGTTTAAAATGTATAAAATTGTTTTTCCTTATAGTTTTCGTAAAAACTTTATTGCAAATGATGTAATGTTTTCTATTGTATATTCGGATATGCTCATTTTAACCTTATAATAATTTTATATAATAATTATAATTATAATAACAATAATTTTTATTTATTTTTTAAGTTTAAAAATGCATTCATTTATAATTAAGTTAAATTTTAATAAAATTAATAAAATTGGTTAACAATAGGTTTTTTTTTTTCTGTAATGTAGTTCACAGTGGGTAAACCGTGGGTAAATTGGGTCCGAAAAAAAGGCACCGCTGAAAATAAAGTTTGGAACCGCTGAATTATATAATACAACTAATCAAAATTAACTTTATTCGATCATTAGACGTTTCGATGAACTAGTTCATATTGTATTGGTGATCAACAAAATATTGTGACAAATCAAAAAAAAATTACAAAATTATTGTTATTTTTTTTATACTATAATTTTATGAAATGCATTTGCACACCCTTGCATCCCACAAATGACGCCACTGCTCTTAACCGTGGATCCCATACATTTGTTATCTCACAGGTTATACTCGTATAATCAGCTTATCAGTTAGTATCATTATGTTGAACTATTTAATACACAATTGGTACAGTTTAGTATTCAAACACGATATAAGATATTTTCACGACTTTATTTGATTTGAACGTTATTCATGTTAAAAAGGAGTATTTAATTTTAAATTATATTACTTATGTATAAATTAGTTATCGTGTTTAACATACATTTAAGAATATTATTCCAGTACATAACTGTTAACTGATCATAAATATAGTTTGTTAGTTTAAAGTTTTCAACAATAAAAAGTAAGTACTTCATCCAGAAATAATCATTCTAATTTCTTGATATATTTTATTTAGATGCATATTGATATGCAATATGCATATTTACATAATTACACATTAATTGTATATAAATATATAATAGTTATTAAAAGTATTGTTTTGTAATATTGATGTTGTGATAGAATTATATAAATTATTTTAGATATCTTGAAGAAAAATCTGGTGAAGTACTAATCTTAATGTTTACTTTATGATGATTTTCGTTTAATTAGTAAAGTATTAATATTTAACTATTTAAGTAGTCAACGGTTAATTTTTGCATTTAAAAACTATTCTAAGATCAACCAATATACACATATTGAATATTTTATGTAATAATAATTGTAGTTCTAATGTATTTCATATACCTAGTTATTTACTGAAATTATACACACAAAAATATTTCAAAAAAGCTGAAAACAATCAATTTTGTTTTATTTTAAACTGTAAAATAAATAATATTGTTTGAAACAAGTTATATGATACTTAACGTTAGTTAAAATAGTTATGAGTTTAGTTTTTATAAAATATAAATTAAATTGTTTTCTTTTAATAAAATTCAAATTATTAATATTTAAGTAATTTCTCTATTGAAATTATACCAGTAGTTAAATTATTATTTGAATTAAATTAATGTACAATTAAATGCACAATAATATGTTCAACATTTTATTAGTATTGTTTATAAGTATTCCAGCTATGTTGTTTAATATAAAATTATGTATTGTTTCAGTTACTATAATGTTACCAATGAGAACTTTTCGGACGTGTTATTTATGTCATTGTTTCAAAACCTTTATATTCAGAAATATGACCAATGCAGTATCTGAACCAAACCCCATGTCAAAGCAATTATATGACATGGCTAAACAGTTAAATGTAAAGAATGAAGCATTAGTCAAAGTCATGAACAACCATCAAGATAAATTAAAATCTTATAATGAATCGAGATGGTTTGAACTGTTTCAATATTTAAGTCAATATGACTTTAAATCATCTGATCTTCTTGAAATTATTGATTCATATCCTGATATATTAAGTGTAAATAGAAAAGATTTACATAAATGTATGAATGCGTGGACTAACTTTCGATTCGATGATAAAAAATTAAGGCAGTTAATTGTTTTACAGCCTTCTTGTTTGTTGTTAGATGAGAAACAAATTCTATCCAGAATCCCTAAGCTTTTAGCATTTGTTGGAAATAAACAGAATCGATTGTTGGAAATGATATCATATTCACCTAATGTTTTGTTTGACAATTGGAAAGATCTACAATCTAAATTAGATTATTTATTGTTAAACATGGAGCTTGGGCCTACCCAATTTGTGACAACTAGTGTGATGTCCTCAACACTTTTTGAAATAAAATGTAGGCATGATTTTTTAGTGAAACTTGGTTTATATAAAAACCGAGATATAAAGAACAATCCAAACTTATTGACTAATAATCCTGCATTAAAGAAAATTATTGAAACAAATGATAAACAATTTGCTGTTAAAGTTGCTGGAGTTACTGCTGAAGAATATTTTGTCTTTAAAAGATTATTTAAAAAACAACTGGAGAAAGAAGATGATGATGATAATTTTGATGAAAATGAATACTTCATTGATGATTGTTAATTATCGTACAAAAAAAAAAGTAGAATATTTTATTGTTGAGTTGTGTTAATGTGACTTATATAAACCATTCTTAAACTTTTATTTAAAAAAAAAAAAAAAAGTTTAAGATAATACATTAATATAAATATATGATTTTAATATTTTAGTGTTTTAGATTTATTATTATTATGTATAATATGGTTAATTTCATTTTTGCATTGTACAGCCAATTTAAAATTTATTTTATTATTTATTTTTTAACAAAAATGATTATAACAAATTAACTATAGACTGTTTAAATAAATAAAATGTATGATTAAATAACATCTTTAAACTTATATAATAATTATCAGTGTAACTGTCCTTCTGGCTACTGTTAGTACATTTTGTTCTTTATGACACAGTGTCTCATGAAATCCATACTGTTCTGAAACAAGTCTTATAAAAAAAAAGGTAGTTAGCTAAAAAGTATAGAATTACTCACAATCTCACCAATTTACAAAGGAAATTGAAGAAATTGTACAAGTTCTATCCAGTGAACAATTTTCAAAAACGACAGCTTTTTGTCAGTGATTCTGTCCACTTGGGTAAGATTCAAGTCGGAGGAATATCTATGGCTGGCAAGAAAGTAGGGCAGGGAGAGCTAGAGTCCCGAAGCCTGTAACTCCTAGAGGGTCCTTTGCCTCAGCATTTTGTATACAATTATTTTATAATCTCATTTGTAGTACAATTAGATACAAATTTGAATATTTGTATTGTACTTAAGTATGTACAATTAGTATCTTAAGAGCACGTCACACCCGCATATGTTGTCTCCGTCTGACATACGTACATAGCAAATTTGCGTTCAGTGATTCAAATGTAGTGAAGTTAGCTTTAATATTAGAGTAAACTATCTATTATCAACATTTAAGGGAAGAACATTATCTATGTTTTGTTGGTCTGGTTTTTCCAATATTTTAATTTTTAAGCGTGTTATGAGTATGTAAAATATAACATTCAAAAAAACATAATAACTCGCTAAAAAATTAAAATATCGGAAAAACCAGACCAACAAAACACAGATAATGTTCTTCCCTTAAAATATGATTATAGGTCAGTTTACTTTAATATTAAAGCTTACTTCACTACATTTGAATCACTGAACGCAAATTTGCTATGTTGTACGTATGTCAGATGGAGACAACACATGCGGGTGTGACATCCTTTTAAGGATCCGGGAAATATAACATGCTATGGAAGTATAAATTCGCAGTGCAAGTTCCGAGTATACATAATCTTTATGTGTTTATAACAGTTTAAAGGAATGTATCAAGAAAAACAGTTATTTATCATTTAGTTATAATATTTCTAACGTATAATTATTGTCATTTGGTTGGATAATTAAATAATTGTACTCCCAAATATCTAGATTAAATAAATATTTATTTAAATTACATTTTTTTATGAAATATTAAAAATTATAGATATTAATGATCAAACACAACAAAACAATATGGTTATTGAGTTTTTTCACCTCAATCATTAAAGTCAATACCAAATATTTCACTAAATACGAACCAGCGATTTCATAAAAAGTGATTTTACAGTTGAAACTCAATTATTTTACTGCATTAGTTGGCTTTTAGTTAGCGAATAATTGAGGGTTAGGGAATTTTTTTCTGTTTAATACAGATGGTTAAAACATTATTAATTTTAAATACACAAAAAGTTATAATATTAACAATCAAAAATAAAACAGTAAAAACACAATATAGTATCGATATAAATGAATAATAAAAATTACGTTCAATTATAGACGTTATAATAGTTTGATATAATAGAAAATATATTTAATGTAACACTATACGGTTATTATGGTTTGTTTGAAGATGTTGAACAGGTCGAGGTGGAAGTTGACCCAGAATTACGCGGAGATCCTACTTCAGGTCTCCATAATTTTGCTCGCATTACTCCTGCGCTATTAGGACAGTTTTCTTTTGTTCTTGACCATGACAACGAATGAAGTGAATACGGAGTTCCGAAAGCACCTGGAATCATTATAATAACCAGTATTTTAATGTAGCTAGGACGTTTTTATTAAATACTATTAAAAACACATAAAATGCATGTCATTATCAGAGATTATGAATATTATTTAAAACAGATTTATTGGTTTTATCTTACATTGTTTTCTAATAATGAATTGTTTAGAGCAGCGGTTTTTAACCTTTTGTAGATCACGGACTCCTGATGAAAGATTTTTAGAAATTGTGGATCCCCCTTACCAATTCTTTTCGAATAATTTTTGTATTACAAAACATCTCATGTTATTAAAATCATAATTATAATAATTATTTTATATAATAAATTACACTAGTAGGCATAACAAACCATACATATTTATAATTATTTTTAATAAATTTCAATTTAATTGTTTTGTTTTTTTTTTAATATTCTTAAAATTTAATTTTCATTAATTTAATGTGATGGTTGGTGTTATACTTGAAACACAAGTTTTTGAACATGTATATAGATAAAATCTATCTATTATATATAAAAAAAAAAAATATATGAAAAAAAGAATAAATAATAATCCAACATTATTAATAATAATGCACTTATGTCATGTATTGACGTATGTAATGTGTTAGGGCTGCCTCGAACCACAGGTTAAGAGTCTAAACTTTAGACTATACTTCGCGATTTTTTATAACTTTTTAACAAAATTAAAAGTTTTAAACATTTATTTATACAATTTATTATAAAAGATATCAGATTGAATGAAAAAATATTGAAACTACTGAAAAATAAAAAAATAGTAACTAGTTATTATAAATACATATTATTAAATTGTATTTTTCAAATCAATTATTGACATTAATTTATGTAATTAATTAGCCAAAGTATGAAATATAATACATATATACAAATGTTGATGAAAATTAAATAAAAGTAAATCCTATTATCAGTGGCGGTTTTAGTCACCACGAGGCCCTGTGCGGCACGTTATTTGCGGGGCCCCTACTGCCGTATTGGGGGTATTCATTTTTTTTTAATTAGGTGCAAAATAATGCATTTTTAATCTCCTTAGAGCAGATTTTCATCATCACCGCTGTTTAACGACTGTAGATTACATGTACAACCTATAATGCATTAAAGTTTTTTTTTTATTCAAAGAGTGGTTTGTTTTTCGTGTATATAATTAATTAATTTAAATAAAATACCAGTTATGATGTTAGAACAATCTATAAATAAAACAAAAAGTTAAATAGATTAAGAATAAAATATAATATCTGCATAAGGTACAGTATGAATCTGTATTTACATTCCAGTTATGCTTTCAAAAATAAACTCTTCTACTCAGTGCCGGATTAAGGGTCAATGCCGCTTTGGATCAAATAATATTTGCCCCTTTCATCCTTAAAGAAATAAAGTTTAAGTGAAACCAAAAAAAAAAAAAAAAATTCCTGGTTTCTATGTATAAATTAAAAATATAAAATACTATTATAAAATATAGGTACCTAATATAATAATTAATCTACTTAAACTAAAAAGTATAAATAAGTATATATGTTAAATATATAATATGTTATATATGTTAATATCACAGAATAATTTTGCAAAGAATTTTTTTAAACTAATGGAAAATACTGACAAAATACAATTATAAGATATATATACACGGATTTCGCCCCAAGCGTTCTAGTACAACTTGTAATCTAGTATTTGTTAACTATGTATTTGAAATGTTCACAAGTGGTAATCAAGTAGATGTCATCTATACTGACTTCCGTAAAGCTTTCGACAGGGTAGATCACTAGACTCTATTGAAAATTTTAATGGATAGTGGTTTTGGAGAACCTTTATTGTCATGGTTTGGCTCATATTTAAAAAATCGTAAGAAATACGTAAAAGTGTTTGGTTATAAATCCGCCATTTGTAACATACCATCTGGTGTCCCTCAAGGAGGACATCTTTCTCTCTTACTTTTCTCCCTATTCATAAATATTACCAAAAGTGTTATTCGAAATAGTAAATTTTTATTATTTGCAGACGACCTGAAGTTATTTTTAAAAATTCGCTGTGAAAGTGACTGTCAACTGCTTCAAAATGATTTGTATGCATTAAGTGATTGGGCTGATAATTTGGATTTACAATTTAATATTCACAAATGTCACTCTATATCCTTCCACAGAACTCATCATCCTATTATGTATAATTACTTACTAAAAGAAGTATCCCTTAATGTTGTTAGTACAGCAAATGACCTCGGTATCACATTTGATCGGTAACTTAACTTCCATGATCATATTGAAAAATCCTCTTGTAAGGCACTTAAAACACTTGGTTTCGTTAAGAGAGTCTCCAATGAATTCAACTTGTTAGTCCCGTTAAAATCATTGTACTGTGCTCTTGTACTACCTATTCTAGAATATGTGGTGGTTATTTGGGACCCTAATACCGTAATTGCTAAAAACCAAGTAGAGGTAGTCCAACAAAAATTCTTATATTTTGCTGTTAGGGTACTCCATATTACTCACCAACCATACGACTATGAGCCAGTATTAACTAAACTTGGGTTAACAACACTTGCTGATAGGCGTATTTCTGCTAGTCAAGACTTTTTGAGAAGGCTTATGGATGGATCTATCGATTGTCCTGATTTATTATGTGAAATTAATTTCAAAGTCCCTAACTTCCTTTCTCGATCACATTATCCTTTCTTCATCCCCATCTGCACCACTAATTATTCATTTAACAGACCTATTTTCAAAATTATACGCATTGCAAACGAGAATATCCCCACTTTCACTTTTGTATAACTTATTAAATTATAATTAAATCTGTATGTATGTGTCTTTAAAAATTGTACTTTGGGTCACGGCCTGTTTTGTAAAATAAAATAAAATAAAAATAAAAAAATAATATTTATAAATTGGTTCAAAATATACAGATAATAATTAGTGTAATAATTACTTTAATATTAAAAAAATTATTTAATTGAATTAAAAAATGTATTATTTAAAATTATTTTAATATTAACATCAATTAAAAAAAAAAAAACTATAACCGTTTAACTATGTATGTATTATATAATATTATTTTTTTTATAATATTATTTATTTTTCTTTAATTATATTTTTTTATGGATTTAATAGTTATAAGTGGTTATGTTATTTCTTCTCAAACAAATTAGATTCTACGCATAAAATTGATAAATTGAACATTTCTTCTTGTATTAATGACGATCTTAAATAATTTTTTTGAGGCTATTTTATTTATGCCGCCCTGGAGCAAATGCTCCTTTTGCACCTAGGTTAATCCGGCCCTGCTTCTACTTTTTTTTTGACTGAAGTCTTCAATCAAATACTCAAAAGATGTAACAAAAGCATTATCACCTTATAATACAAATAAAAATTACCATTTTCTTTATTTTCTTATCAATAAAAAATGTTTGGTTTAAGAATTATTTAGAAAATTATAACTAAGTGTTCTCAAGAAGTACAAATTCATTATAAAAATATTTTAAATTCTGAGTGGAGCGAAGTATCTTATGGTTTTACAATTATGTTAATTATTTTTGTTTCCTCGGTAAACAATTTACTACGCACTATCGGCGTAATGTTTAATCGCTATAGCATATCCAAGATTAAGACTACTTCATGGTAAAATTTAATTTGAAGTATTTGACAATAATAAACGGTGTTCGGGTTCATACTTGTAAATTTTACTCCGGGGCCCCGATTTTTCATAGTAAATCGTGAATTAACAACAGATTTTTGCTCGACTTTTTGTTAAATGCTATAAGTAATATAAATATAAGTAATAAAATATTTATAATTTATCATCATAATAAATAGAATAATATTAAAGAATTGCTAATGTTTTTTAATTTTAAATAATTTTTCATAAAAACTATAGGGGTATGTGTATAATAAAATAACTAAAAACAAATAACTATTTAACACATGTGCTCCATATACAGAAGTTTTAATTAAGGATCGATTATAAGTTTAAATACAATTCTAAAAAGTGAACCACTCAGATTGTCCACCCACCAACCGGCGAACCGTAAGCGATCATCGTCGCTGAAATGTTTTTGAATCGCATAACGATTAAACACCAGCTGTCTCACGCTCAAGTGAATGGACTAGTCTCATCATCGTGGCCAATGACGACTCCAGATTTGCACCTGGAGGGGACGATGCATACTACAGAAATGATCCTGTGAAGTATGATCTTAATCATTGGATTATAGTTTACTTGTATTTGTATTACAATTGTTCTCTTCGCCTACGGTTTTTGAAACATCAATGTACACGTTAGACGTTCTACTCTGAAAGTTATTCGCATTTATCGCTGATTAATATGTTTTTAATGTAAAACTGTTTAATGATCATATGTAATTATTATAAATATGTTGGTTTTAAGGTAAAAAAATCAATTTAATCTTTGCCATGTAAAAAATGTTCATTTACAGCGCCATCTATTGACTCGTTTGTTAACCGAATTGCTTCAACTTTTTCAATTTACTAACTATTAACTTTTTATTTAGTTATAACATTTCTGAGCCACTGCAAAATACAAATTTTTTGTAAATATTTAAAATTGATTTACCATAATTTATCAAAATATATTTACTATTTTTTTAACTATAATTTTGTTATAATTAATTTATAAATATTAGTTTCATAGTACTCTTATTGTGTTTTAACATTTTGTTCATAAATATTTTTTTTCAATAACCTATTCATGATGCCTTAAATTGTACATCAGTGAAGAAGGTAAATTTTGTTATAATGATTTGGAATAAATTTACATTTAATTAAATACTATTGTGTTTGTGTATATTTGAAATTATTAAATTTCAAATTATTTCTTCATTTAGGTATAACCATTTATTATTTAAAAGAAAATAATTTTCAACAACTAATGTTCATTATTGCAAAATTTATTTCTTTAGGTTTTAACCTTTTTATCTACTTTAACTTTATTTAAATTTAAACCATAAATACAATCAAGTCGTACATTTTTAAATTTTTGTTTGCAAGTTATGATTCTTGTTGGTATTTTGTGCGAGTTATTACTTGTTTATAATATTATAATATCATGAAAATAATCATGACCATACGCATAATATATTATGACGTGTAATCTAATCACAGTTTTATTTATTTTCGCAAAGTAATGAAATGCGTTTAAATTAATAAATGCTTAAAATAATTGTATTAGTCCATACCTCTGACGATGAATTTTTTCACAGGTTGTTCTTTGACTTGAGCCGGTGGCCTGTGAAGTCGACCGGCAATCGTTGTAAGTTTGGCCACATTCAACGATGTGACACCATTCCCGGTCGGTCCCGTGCCTCTAGTCAACTCTGACAGGAAGTTTATGTACCCAATGGCCAGCTTCAGTGTATCTACTTTGGATAAACGTTTCTCGTACGGTAAAGTAGGTATGTGCGCCCGAAGTCCTTCGAATGCTTCGTTAATGCTCTGCATGCGACGTCTCTCACGCAGGTTTGCTGCTTGCCGCTGCTGAGTCTTTTGCCTGTGACATCGCGAACTTTTCTTACGACCCGAACCATCTGAAAAATTTACCATCACGCTCATAAACTTATTTTTTTTGATTTTAACGTAACAATAAATAATTGTAAAAACCAAATCAATAGGGTCGAAATGCAATAAACACAATATGTTGTGGCTATGTATTTGTTTAATTTAATTTTTACATTAAAACAACGCGTAATAAAGTTAATTTTAATCAAAGTAATCCATTATTATGGCTGTTAACTGAAAATTAGTATCAATTTTAGATTATGAGTGAAAAAAGGAATACCTTGGTTTTACCATGATGTGTGTGTTTTTTATGGTAAAAAAAAATAAAATGGTTACTAGAAATTCGCAAAAACAGTGCATCCGAATTGAATGACAAAAAAATAAATATAAATTGGAACGTCCAAATTGCATGCCACTTCGTAGAGGGGTCAGTCTGAATTGCATGCCGTGTAATCCCAAGTTTATTTATCATGCACTTATATATACAACTTAAAGTTTATTTTTGACTTTTCTAATTTTTAAAAAAAAAAAAAATGGATGAATAGAAACTGATTAGTATAAATTAGTATATATGTTAATATACAAATTCATTGTTGCATTTAAACTTTATTATACGTATATGTACAATGACCAACAACGTATACTTTGATTTACATTTCTTTTTTTTTTTTGTTAATTACACCGGAAAATCTTGTTCAAGGAACAATCAGGTGAAGGACCAAAAATCGCCCTCGGTGGTCCATTCACATTTAGCGTACTTATCTAATCCAACTAGATTTAAACGAATCAATGGGTTGATTTCATGTGCAGATTATTAAATCGAAAAACGATGATTTAAGGGACAGCTTGGAAAAGACGAAATCGACATCAAGACAACCTTACGATTCTTAAAGGCATTTGTATATTTTAAACTTGTATTATTAACATGACTCTAGAGCGATTCATTTCGATCGCTCGGCGCGCTCATTAGACCAATAAGAGTATGTATAGCGGAACGCAGTATCAATAATATTATGTACGTGGCTTACCGCAATTGCCAGAATCGCAGTCGCTATTCAGCGAGCTGGTCCCGTCGGACTCGGAACCGGACGAGTACTCGTACAGGAAATAGTCCCTGGCGTACGGCGGCGCGTGATGATAATGGTGAGCCGCGTTGTGGTGATGGTGCAATTGATAGTGGTGGTGATGGTGGTCCATGGTTATGAATCACACGGCCGGTGCACGAGAGCAGATATCGCGGAGTACGTGTCAGTTCGTACCCGACATGTAACCGGCGAAGGCCACGTAGAGGTGGTGTCTGCGACAGAGTCGCACTGTGATGGACAAGCGTATGCTTTGCAATAGTTGGTAAGCATACACGGTTAACTTAGTGATGAGCAGCTGCAGTTACGTTGGTTGATGGACTACGGCCACCGGAACACTGATGCGGCCGGACCCTGGAGCGAGTGAAAACACTCGCACACACGCACACATACCATAAGCGCTTGCGCATATGCTTCTGGTAGCAGAGACGAACAGTGTTCGCACGCCTCCGAAGGGACGGCGCCGCAAGACCACGCCTCGTCGTGCCATCCCTGCTACAGATCGCGTTCGTATACCGGTGTGCTCGCGTGCCCTGCGCAAGTTCGAGAACCAGGGCCGGCGCTAACTAGATCTTGCGAGGTTTTTGAGAATTGTAGACAGAACACATGCGATAATAACGACAGGAAAGCCAGACTTCAATCGATTCTGCCCATCATATTTAATGTAATTTTTTTCAGAGAAATTAATAATGATTATTTAAAAAAAAAATATTATTTAAATAATCACCATACGGTTCAATAATTTTGTGTTCAAATTATGTAGTAAAAATCAATAACCTGGATAATAATTTTTTATATAAATATTTTCATCATTATTCAACTAGATAAAAATATTATAATGTTTTAATAAAAATATTAATTCAGGTGTGAAAATACTAAAAACAAATTGTGGGTGGTAAGTATTCATCCTAATAAAACTTTGAACCGCAACAATTTCCAAATTGAAAATTTGAAACAGATTAACCAAAAAAATAAATCGTTTAACTGTTGAATAATTTCAACCAAATTTCAATTATATATTTATAAAACACACAGCTTAGATTTGTAAATTATTTACAATATTTTATTAATATATAGTATAGACCTTTTAAACCTAGTAAACCTTTTTAACAGTATAAGGTACTCATACATTAGGTAAATCACTATTCATTAGTCGCCGCGATAATAAGACACTACGAGGTTATTGTGTTTAATAAATAAATCCATCAATGAAAGAGATGAAAATAATCTAATTAATACTAATTTATGACAATATTTGTATTGATATTATACTTAACCATATAAGCTTTCCTTTCTTTCAACACTCATACATTAGTTATAACTAGGGCAGAGGACTTGTAACATTTTCATACTTGTTTTGAAAAATCAAAAAAATAGCAGAATATGATACAAATATGTTTCATGCTTTCACAAAGCAAGCCTTGAAATTTTATTTTGCATATAAATGTATATTTCAAATAATGTATCATTTCATCAATACTTCTCTGATAATGTTCTAATTTCATTTAATATACAACCAAAATATTGTCGAATTAGAAATAATTTAAAATATTATTCATATAGTATGGTTGTTGATTGTTCGTAGACTCACCTTTTTCCTAGTAATATGTTTCTAGGATCGGCGGTTAAATTTATTTATAAACAGTGAACACGTAGCTTACATCATACATTTTCCGATAGGACGTTAACAATACCAAACAATTTTATTGTACTAATTTTTTTTAGTGTTCGAAAATAATTTAATATTATAGTCCTTTAAGTTCTGCAATCTTCCCATGTGCGTTTTATTGGTAAATCGTGTAAACTTTTCTTCTTTGTGTATTGTTTTAATATTAAAATGTCTAAAGATAAACAGTATCTTAACAGTTGGTTAAAGATTTATTTATCAGAATTGGTGTCAATGTGTTTTTGACAGACGATTAAGTCCTATACTGCAGGTATTGTGATGTTAAAGTAGGATGTGAAAAACGATTTAATTTTAGGCAATATTTAAATGATTTATATATTTTGTAAATAAATTGCTTAAAAAAAAAAAAAAAAAATATAGCAAATTTTTAGTGCATATTATATGGTTTTTAAGTGAATAATTGCTTGCATATTTAATGTTTTTTTTTACCTACAAGTCCTCTGCTCTATATACTATGAAATAAATTATTGGATCTTTCATAAACTTTGTTTCGTAGAATGTTTTTTTTTTTTTAATATGAAGAAATTTAAAGTCCAACAGTTATTATTATAAAAAAAACTAGAGAAAGAAAATACGAATTGAATGTTATATTTTTCAAAAAAATTGGAAAAATATTAATATTTATAGAGATGTTTCCATCGATGAAACATGCTGGACCACCTTGTACTCGTATATATAAGGAATAATATGTATATTAGTTATTTATAATTGTATTAAAAATCTTAAGTATAATTGCATAGATCGCTGATCTTATGTTTGCATATTAAAAAAAATTGTATAAATTTGTTAAATTTTGTATTAAGATTGTATAAATTTATAGAAATAGTGAGGAGGTTTACAAACACAACATAGAAAGCAAAAAAATCTAATACAATTTTTTAAGATTGTGTTTTTGTTATCAATTATGGATAAGAAATTAGCAGAGTATAATTGAAATTAAAATGGACTATATATAATCAATATATTGATTAACATTATGTTTTCAATGAAGATATGACTCAGAAATGTTGAAAGATACATATTAAAAATCTTAACTTTACAGAAGCTTTATTTCTAATAAAATAATATCTATCTTATATGATCACTGAAGGAAATTTTGGAATGAAATTTTACTCTAGAATTACATCGGTATTCTTTTCAATGAAAATTGAATAGTAGAACATTTATTTAAATTTAAATACATAGCATTTTTTTTGACAATATTTATGAATATTATTTAAATCAATTTGTAATTTTACAACATAGTTTGTGCAACTATAATATATCTTAATACATTTTTTGCATCATTGGATAATAACATAGTAACAATTATAAATTCAAATATGTAAGATACCGACTAAACAATGTAAGAGATAAATTATCTCCTTGAAGAAAATCATAAGGTTAGGTTACTTATTGATTTGTATAAAAAAATATTTTTAATTTTTAACTATTTGTATACCACACGATAAAAAAGGGTGAAATTAATAATGTATAAATTTGTAAATATAATATAATGAAATATAAATAAAATGATGTTTAACAATTTTATATTTGTAAAATATAAGAACTTCACTCACCAGAGTGACGTGTTTACTATAAAATCAAACTCTCTACCATATATCTAATGCCATACTATACAATTTGTGTGCTCACAAACAGGTGCTATCTTTCCCAGAGGGGTAACCGAGGACAAATCAATGATTTGCTTGCCGTTCTCAAACGTCACGTTACGTTACATTTTAAGAAACACTGTTCATAAATACACATTTTGTAATGTTTTTAATAATGTTTAGAACTAAGACAAATAATAATTTAGAAATTCGAAAAAAAATTTTAGATGGTTGCTTAAAAATTGTTTAATTAAATTATGGAATAAATAATTTTTTAAATGTTTTGGTACTTTTATACGAACATTTGTTAAATATTTTAGATTAAATCCGACTACGTTGAAATAGATATAATACATAGATAAATGTCCGGTTTTCTAATTATGAAATCTTATAAAATCATAACTTCTGATTAAAATAAGTAAATCATACAATACAAAAATTAATATAATTTTTGATTCTTTATTTATTTAGTTTTTATGACAATTTTAAAATAAATCCACAAGACTACATTAAGCATATGAATAATATTTGGTTTTATGACACTTATAGAATCAGTAAATATGAAGTTTAAACGACTATTTGTAATAATTTTTATATAAAATAAATAATTTATTCATTTATAACAATAATCTTCTCAAACTCTAATATTTATGGAAATAATCAACTATGTCGTCATATTTCAAATATTAATAAAAGAAAATTAGCTCGGCCAAAACTTCCAACATTAACATTATTATTTATTTTATTTTGTTTTTCCTAGTGCTTGAACATAATTTAATGAAAAAATTTAAAAACTAAATTTATAGAATAAATTTCAGGCTTGAAAATACTTTTAATTTACCTTTTAATTACAATTTGATTATAGAAAATTGTTTTGAAAATATCATTGTCAAACTAATATACTTGTATTTCCTGATTTGCTCATAATCTAAAATATGTATTTTATTACTTAACGGTTAGAAAGTAAATGATTTATTAATTATTCCTAATAGCAATAATAAATAGGTTTAAATATAATTATATTAAAGGAATAATAAATATCTACTTCCTTATACATGTATAAGGAATGTATAATAAATGAATATGCATGTGTATTTAAATAAGAAAAATATTATTATTAGTACATTTATAATAAAGTTTGAAGTTATATTAACAAGTAATACACTTAGTTATAGTTGCTAAAATCAGTTTCAATAAGCTTATTACTCTTTCTATTAAAACAATTAGAGATAAATTATTAAAGTTATTTTTGTTAATCTTAATAATTAAGAAAATAATAAATTACAAATAAAAAATGGTATATATAGTTACCAGAAGTAGTTATATATAATAGCCAGTATGTATCTTTATTCGTTACTATAGCTATAGTTGAGATTACACATATCTTTTAATAGTTGTTTATCAAATATAAGAAAATATACTATATTATACATACTTCTGCTAGATTAGTTATTAATTTTAAATTAATTAATTTGATTATAATTTTACTATTTAATTTATAATTACTATAAATGTATAGAGAGAATAATAACAATGATTTAGAACTTTATACACAATTATAAAAACTATGAAAATGTAATAAGCAATATCGAATAAAATTGAATATTATAACTACAATTATTCTTAAATAGTACTTAATACTTGCATTATTTTCAAATTTTTGTAATAAAGTATATTTTATAAAAAAAATATAATACTTGGTTGATGTGAATGTTTATTGTTATTTTTAAATTATGAACTCGATGAGTAGGTTACGAATTACTAAACATTATTATTTTATTTAAACTGCTACACGTGCAGCCTGTTGGGACACGTGCCGAGCCACGTGTAAGGGTTTGTACAAGATATCCTTTCAATATTCACACTTTACGCCTATTAAGTAACATAAATAACGTTTTGTACATAGGTTAATTGTATTTAAATATGTTATATACATAGACAGGATTATATATCTGCATAGACATTTTTCTGGTAATCGAGCTATTACATTTCTACACAAGAGTTTTTTTAAAAAAATTTTCTTATAATATTAATAATTAATTTTCAATTAAACTACAACTAAGTTAACCAAGATATAATAATATTATGACATATTATGTTATTGATATTTTGACCACAATATTTTCTCTCTTTATAAACTCATCACTTATCAATGTATCGTATCTATTTATTCATTGAAAATTAAAATTTATGTGGTGCATAACATTATTATCTTTAAGATTACTTCAATTATTTGAATTTTACTTTAAAAAAAAAGGAATAATTGTAAAATAAAACATACATTAAAAAAACATTTTATTTATAGATGTGATAAAATAATAGGTATTTAAAATTTATCAGAATTTAATACGGTGTTTTTAACCACTGATTATTCTAATTTCAATATTTTTAATTTTTGTAACACCTTAAACATAAAATATAATCTTATGCAGTCATAAGCACTCTTTGGGAAAACTGAGAAGTTAAAGTTAAAAATACAATAAAATATATCAATAACTATAGTTTACGTTCATACATAAAGCTGTATATTATATATATTATATAAAAATAATACTATTATAATATGTGATCAAAATATTATATCTTGATTACTATCTATAACAATAAAACAGTATTAAGTGTGTATTTGATTGTACGAAAGTTAAGCGATTTTTTTTTTTTTAGAGAGAATTATCACTCCCTTTTATCGAAATATATTTAATTATAAATTCTAAAGAATATAGGAGTTTAATCTTTAGGGTGATCGCATATACGTACAAAAACAAATCGAAAATCAACAGAGAACGTTCTCAGATAGTGTTTGCAATTTGAGTGATCCCGACATCGGATTATGTAAACTTAAACCCTTAAAAAAGTAAGAGTGAGATATGTGTATTATGCAGTATATGTATATATGTATTAGAATATATGTACATAAATATATGTATATGAGTGAATGAACGTGTGTGGGTGTGACGTAAGCTTAGACAGCTGCAATATTATTGTGTCCTAGGCGATTCGTGCAAAGGGTCTACCCTATTTATTTTAGTGAGTGAATACATATATACATATATATACGTACATGGTAACACACACACATACTAATGCGTATATACTACACCTTGCTGCATCGTTCCCCTTTTCGCGGTAGGAACAATACCCTGGATAATGCGACCTCAATTTGAACTTAATGTTCAATGTATATACCAATTGACCCTTTTTTAATAGTGTTTTGAGGGTGAGTTTGAGGGAGCCGTAGAGCACCATTTGATATAGTTGCCAATATTTAAATAATTATCGAGTGTTTTTTTTTCTATAGACTAATTTTGTCGAAATGACAAGGTGTTTGTATCACCCTCGATAATGATAACACGCAACAAATTGTCATCACAAAGCAACCCTCAAACCAAGGTATTATTATTATTAGAACCTTTACCGAAACTAACTCAACAAGCATTAGACATTGAACTATTCGATCATGATCCATATTTTGTGTTTCTGATTCATTTAATCTGGTGTTACATATAAAATTAACTCTCAAAAGTAACGAAATATACATTTATTATGACTAGCAATGAAGTGAATCAAGTTATGAAAAATGGTGAGTTAAATTATTCTACATAGCAATTATAATATATTAGTAATGTTAAGTGTACATTGTACTCTCTAATAGTATAAAAATTGTTATTTTATAAAAATTACAAATTATACCAATTGTTGATGTAGTCCATACATTTAGTAAATATTTTGAAAGTATTAACTATTCTATTAAACTATTTACAAACATTAAATTATTTGAATTAATAAAAGCTTAGCCTGAAGTGTTATTATATTTATTTCTATACATAAAATATTTTTTTATTTACATAATAATTTACGACTATTTTAACCATTTAATAATTTAATTTTTTTATTTTTTTTTTAGTTTAATTTAATTTTTATTTTATTTTAAAGCATATTGATTATATTATTTATAATTTCTAAACATTTATTATAAGTTAAAATTGGAATATCATACATAAATAAAAGGCATAATAGTATTACGTAGTATGTTTTTAAAAACTTAAAATTTAAAATCTTACAAAAGTTTTTAAATTGATTCTTTATTTTTTCTCAATTTAACAGTCGTAATTTAAGCAATTCTCTTTAACGTGTCCTATTACTAGTTCAACATATACATCTGTATCTTCCATCATAATATCTACTGTAAGTTTTCACTTTTTCCGTGGCAAGCCTAATGATTGTGTTTTATTTATTTGCTCTGATATCATCCTTTTGAATACATCATTTTCGCCTCTCCTACGTTCCCAAATTATTTCAGTCTGTCAATTTTTATATATTATGTCTTTATATTATTATTATTATTTTATTATGATTTTGCATTTAAATCGTTTTAGGTCTTAATTTTTTTCTTCCGAATATACATAATTAAAAAAAAAAAAAAATATTTAGAATTGAATTTTACCTTATTACATACAAATATTTATAAATAACGTACTGTGTGTCTAAATACGTATAAATATACGTATTTATTCAGAAATATGATGATTAATATTAATTATCATGGTAGTGTAAACTTTTGTATAAAATATCATAAAATAAAATATTAATTATGATCATGCTTTGTTGTAGTCTAAGCTTATGTAATAATTGTAATCAAACCATTGAATTATTATTTTTCTTAAAAAAAAGGTAAAATAATATTTTCCACCTAAAAAATGTATTGTATACTCGTAGTACAAATAGTTTATAATTTATTAAGAAAAGTTATTCTAAATAAATTTATCTTGATTAATAAAAATATTATAAACGATAATTTGGTAGAAAAAATAATATATTTTCAAAATAATTATTAATTTAAACAACATTAATCATCAATAGGTATAAAATAAACAATATTCGATCATTTTACTTCTAATGTATGGGTTTGCAAATAAAACTATATAAAAGTTATTTCATTCTTCAAAATTACGATTATAAAAATAAAGCAGAACCATTTCAAAATACCATAAACAGTGGCGTTATTGAAAGGTCACAAGGAGTCGCCAAAGTATTAATTTGTAACTTTTGGTATTTCGATATTTGAAGTTTTAGAATTAAGTTTGAGTTACAACTTTAAAATTCGATAGTTTTTAATAAGGATAAAACACTATGTAATTTTAATATAAATATGTTATGTGAATTTTGATTGTAATAAAAACTCAAAATTCACAGTTACAAATAATATAGATCTACAAATAAGAAAAATTTCATATACTTAATCTCTATAAAGCAAATAGTTTATTTTCAATAAATTATTTTAGTTTTGTATTTAACTTCATAATGTTTAGAGTCGTTTGGTGGAAGAGGTGAAACCTATATGAATCTGTACAGTAGCGTAGATACAATTCTTTTCTGGGGGGGGGGGGTGTTTAAGAGTAAGTTTTTAAGTGTTCGTAGTATATCTTAAAACGATATCATATATATTATATCATATTATATTATATTATATCATATATTATTACATTTAAAATAGTGTTATTATGTCCCGTATTAATGAAAATTATTTTGTTATTCAATTTTTAATATATACCTAATCATAGTAAAATCAAAATATTTTACTATAATATATAAATATTAATAAATAATAATCAAATATCATTAAAAAAAAAAATCTGTGGGGGGGAGTGGAAACCCCTTACACACCCTCCCCGTAACTACGCCACTGGATCTGTACATTTCGAGTAAGTTTTACAATTCCTGATGTTATAATCAAATTTTATCATTGAGTCTGTAAGAGAAATTTACTAAAATTGAACATAAGAAGTTAGAAAATTTCAGATTTTATTATTTAATATCGTCTTTATAATTTTGAAATCTAGTCTAACGAATGTATCTTTGCAATGTTTTTTTAAAAATTATTCTCACTGTCATAAATGATTTTATTTAAATTTTTCTAATAAACCTATGACTCATTAATGTTCTGATAATACAGTTTAATAGCATATTTTTCAATATAAGTACTTACACAATAATTATAGTATTATTTATATCACGTACATTTTTGTATATTAATCAATATACATTTTCAATTGTTTAATACGATAAAAAAAGATCGTGATTATAATTTATTACTTAGATAATTCTTGGAAATGTATTTTATTTTATCGCATGACATTTTTTTCTTTTCACCGAGTCAAATTACCTCGGGATTTCTTATATAAGATCTATCGCTGAGTATATTGACGTAGTTGGTAGAGTTAAATCAACAAATTAAACATATTTACTCTCCATTTTTCATCGTCAGATTCAGGTAAGACAATAACTGGTACTTGAGTCTCATTTAAATAATGAATTATTATTTTATATAGAAAAAATAATCTTACCTTTTATTTTTTTTATTGTTTTCAGAAAAAAATATACGATGTCAAAAGTAATATTCACATGCTTTCTTGTCAACTTGTTGATTATCTCGTGTTTAGCAGCTTCAACAAAAGATATTAAAAAAATCAATGGTTTAACCAGTCATCAAGTAACTCATTATGAGTTTAAATTAGATGTAGAAAACCTAGTACAAAAAATACAAGATTACATAATATTTATCAAAAATATCATAAGTGAACCAAAGAAAATGGGTAATTATGATCTTTGAAAAAAAAATCAAGCATCGATAAATCACTGAGTCTCTCTCAATCGCTAGCAAATCACACATTAAATATTAACAGGGATGACGAGAGGATGGGGGAAGGAGGGCCAAGGCTCCGGGGCCCTTACCTCTTAGAAGGCCAGTCGTCTCAGCCTTTTATACAAAATTATTTTATAGTTTCACTCGCCGTATCATAAGATGCAAATTTGAATATTTTTATTGTACTAAAGTATGTATAAGTAGTATGTATATATTGACCAAACAAGTGTAAGTAAAAGGGGCCTGGAACTGATCAGCCTCGGGGTCTTTAAAAGTTCTCACTAGTTCTGATTATTATGTACCTATCAATATTACATGTACTGGTCACATAAGTAATTTTGCAAATATTGTTGGTTCCTAATTAAAATTAAATAAAAAAATGTAATTTAAATATTTATTATGATATAAATTAATGTATATGATTTTTAGCCTCGTCCATTACTAAGAAAATTTGTACTTCCGAAGATAATGTCTACTCAAAAATATTAAACGGTTCTTTGAAGATTTTATTTGAAAAATTGATTGCTGAGAAAAAGGAACCATTATCAGATATAAACATCCCTCAGTTGCCAAACTTAAGAAATGTGTACAATGATAAAATAAAGTAAGTCAAATAAATTTTTTTTTTTTTAATAGAGTTTGAATTACTTGAGTGAAAGAATATAGACGTAAAAGTGTAAAAAATGGAAATATTTACTTTTAAAAAACTCATAAATAAACTTCATAAAAAACTCTAAAATATTTTCATTATGTTTATGTATAAAAATATTATATGATATTCGTATTATTTATAGCAATCATACTCTAATAGCATTTCAGATTTAATGTTCAAAAAATCTTCACTCAAAGGTTTAGAAAACCTAGTTATATCAAAATTTGACTATAATGTATGTTCATTATCTTTTGATATTGAAATGTATATACCAAAATTAGAAATTACCAGTACATATACTTTGAACGGAATCATCAATGGATCTTCTATTTTCGGTGATGGTGATATAATGTAAGTTAAAACCTTCTTATAACATATTTATTCAGAAAACAAATGTAAGCTTTGAAACAATAAAAAAAATTATATTTTATTTATTATGTTATAAAAACATAGTTAAAAAAAAAAAAAATTAAAAACGGCGCTTAATTAATGATTGTTTAATGATTAATTAATTAATGAGTAGAAAGTATGCAGAGTTTAAATGAGTGGGAATAGTAGGTACACGAACATTTTATAAATTCCTTCTTACCAATTCACTTTGTTCATCTAAGTTAGACAAATTTTAGTTAAACAAATATGATATAAAAATATTTTGCTTTATACATATTAAAAATATATATTATAATTTAAAAAAAAGTAACAATTTTAAAGTTATAATGATAAAAATATTAAATTATTTTGCCAAAAATGTTGAATAGTATTGTTTCAAATTATAAAAAAAATGCCTATTAAAACATAAATTTATGTTTTATATTTAAACATATTTAAACATATTAAAAAACCTATTATACATAAATAATATATTTAATATTTTATTTTATATTAATTTTATAATATATTTTATATTATTTATTTATTTTCTTATAATATATTTATATTTTTTTTTTTGTTTATTATTTTGATTTTAAGTGTGACTATTGATATGTTGAAATTAAATGATCAATCAGCAATGGGTTGTACTTTAATCGCATTTATGGATGATAAATGTAAATTGAACATGAATAAGCCGGTGAACTTGACGAATGAAAAAGTGACGGTAATAGTAATAACAACAATAAAAATTAACTTCAAATCTATTTTTCATATACTACCATAAATCGATAAACTAATGATGAATAAGCAAGGTTATTATTATTTATCAAGATTTCGCGTGTTGGCGACTAATTTGATACATTTTAAGTCTAAGACGTTTAAACCGATAATCAATTCCATTAGTATTTCTAATATTGCACGTAATTTTTGTAGGACATTTATTGACAATAAAAACCATTAGATTAATAATTTCATACGAATTTTCATACGAGAAAAAAAAATCGTTAAAAATTAGTTTTGAATAATTGTGGAACCTATGATACAGAAAACAATTTTTCAAATAAGTCCAGTCTTCGAGTTAAAATACATATTTCGATCCAACAACTTCAAATTAATATAAGTCATAATTGATAAACAGTAAATTTTGTTTAGTAAAATGTTTTGGTTAGATTTCTTTTATTTGGTACGAAAAAAAAAAATTAAGATTTTTTTAAAATCTTAAGAATATTTGTATTAAGACATTAGAATTATAATTCTAGTTATTATAATATTAATTATAATTAACAGGTACGCATGTCCAATTTAAAATATCAAAATTTAAGTGAATTACAAATCAACAATCAGATCAATGAGTTCATAGCCAACTATAATAAATCCAATATAATGAATAAAATGGAGAAAATAATAAAATTTGTGAAGGATTATAGGAAAAAAATTATGAACCGTTTTAATTCCACGCCGTTACTTGGACATCTATATAACGAAATTCTTCTTGTTTGAATAGAAACATATTGTTTTTACTTCATTCGAAATACTACTATAATCATTATGTTTATATCATCAATAATATATTATTCTGTTTTTTTTTTAAACTATATGTACCAAATATCTGAAAAAATAAACTAATAAATACACCAATATATTTCAACAAAATAAAAATGTCAAAATATTTTCCTATTTTTAACGATATTATCGCTCAATGCACTTACTGCGCCATATAGACTAATCAACTTTTTTTGGATTATTAAAAAAAATAATGAGTAAGGTTAGATACATATAATCGGTATTCGTATACAATGTCTTTTGTGCATTGACAGACATACGGGGGTGCTTAGTACTCCCAAGTTTTAAATTAGAATCCCCAATTTATTTTGCGGTAAAAAGTGGTTTTAAATGGATTCTTTTGCGTTTATGGTGATGAATATAATCTAGTTACAATTGGTAATGCAATTATTCCATAGACGTACAATGTACATATATTTATCCAGTAGGAGTATTGGGTATTTATGTTTGTTATGTTATCTGTTTATAACGCATATGATATTGTGATGATGATCAGTGGCGTGGTGAACTCAACAATTTTCAGAGGCAATTACATTTTGCCGACACCCTCCCATATGGCCTTATCTGGAGGGGTCCAGGGTGTCTAACCCCCTCCCCCGAAATTTCTTCAATATTTTACAAATGTTTAAAATACTTATTTATTTCAATACCAACATAAATATTTTCAGTCAAAATGACTTAAGCTCCAATTAATAATTGATTGCTTTATATTTTATGTCATAATATCATATGAAAATATGATATTAATTTTAATAAAAGAAGATTAAATCTTTTTTCTGTCTTATTTTTAACCAAATATCAAAAGTTAAAATCTTAATTCAATAAAATTACAATATACATATTTTGGACCCCTCCCGAAAAAAAATTTTAGATACGGCCTTGCTCACCCACCTCCCAAAAAACTGTGAGGCAGCCGCCTCTCGATTACCCATATCACCACGCAACAGATGATAAAGTTTATTTTTAGTATTTATTGCAGGAATACTACGGGTATACGTAGAACAGTGCCGGGGGGGGGGGGCGGCTATGGTGCATACGCCCCGGGCGCATGGTTTAAGGTCCGCTCAAACCGAAGCGATAACGGTGGCGGTAACGGCAGCGAAATGTAATGTCCATAAGTTTTAATACAAGTACTCACTATCGCGAAATTAATACCGCGGCGAAAATGTTACCGCAAGATTGAGCCCGATATTTTTATTTTTCGCTTCAGACAGTGCTTGAAGTGAGGGGAGGGGATACGGAGGGATGGCATCCCTCTACTTTTTTGTATTTACAGTTTTCATCCCTCTACTTATTTTGTCTAGAATAACGTATTCCTTCTAAGACTTGTATTTTAAAATGATATACTTATTATCATTTTTATATTTATATATAAGAAATTATTTTTTTTCGGTGAATATAATTGTTTTTAACATTCAGGCCCGCGCGCCCGGCTCATCGTGTTGTTTAGTATAAGCCGTTTCGCAACCCGTATTATACCCGTATTTAGAGCCACGGTCTATGATAATATACCTTATGTGAACTATAAAAAAAAAAAATATATATATATTATAGGTACACAAAGTGTGAAGAATATTATGATGATATCAGGAAATTTGAATTGTAAAGCATCCCTCCACTTATCTTGAGCCATTTCGACCACTGGCTGCAGACACTATATTTATCGCTTACCGCTGCGATACTCAGTTGTAAATCCCAACTATGAGTTATCTACATTTTATTATTAATATATTAATATCTATAGAAAGCTTATCATTACATTGTATGATATATTTTGACTTTATATTCAAACACATATCTATTCATCGTAATCGTACCCCTGGCAGTTTACACCTTGCAGTTGAATTTAACGTTGTAGTGTTTGAATGTATGATTCTCTTGTTTAAAATTTGTTATTTATAATAAAAATGACCAATAAAGTTGACCAGTTAATTACTATTGTTAAAGAATATCCCATCATATATAATATGACACTTTCAGAATTCAAGGATACGAGAAAAAAAAATTATATTTAAGATTTAATTATATTAAAGATAATATTTAAAATAGTAATATGTTGTTTTGTACTTTAAAATATTAATATTAATAAATAAAAATACAATAATAACTAAAATATAACTAAAATACATGTACGAGCATGGGTGTCATAATGTCAACTAGTAATTTTCGGCGAAATATTTCGCTCTCCGGTTAGGGTAGATCAGCGGTATTTATAAAGCGATAAATACCGCTGCCGCTACCGCCACCGCTACCACTTCGGTTTGAGCGGACCTTTAAAAAGGCACCATAATTTTTTTTTTATAATATTTGAAACTTTACATAAATAAAATATATAAGAAAGATTATTGTTTTACAATTATTTTTAGACCATTACAAATTTTTTCTGAACAATTTTCCGACTATGTTTGAGTAATAACAGTTAGTTAACCACAACGTTTTAAGGTCGATTTCCACTGGTCCGGCCCCGATCCGCGACACAAAACGGCACGTCCGTTGACTCGGATTAGGCATTCACACTCGTCCGGCCCCCGTCCGAGTTTACAATTTTATTGTACTTACATCAGTCATCAGTTGCTATCGAAATAAAAATCACGCGTTTGTCTGTCTGATTTAAATGCGAACATTTTAAACTGAATTTAATATTATTTCATAATATTAATTTAATTATTAAATTAATACTACTCAAAGCAAATAAATTTTTAAGTAAGTACTAAATATATAATATTATAAGTAATCCGGTAAAGACCGGATTTATATGTTTTTACATATCGTTACTGGGTCTATGCAGTTTTATGAAAGTAAAAAATGTGGATGATTCGTTCAATTCTAAGTTGGAAGAAAAACATTTTTTTTGCATATTTGAGAATATTTAGCCCATTTAGCATATTTTAGAATATTTGACTTTTGTGTTATCGTTGGATATTGTACAAACTATTATCTACAAACTAACTAACATACCTGGTGAAACAGATAACATAATAAAAACACTTAAGTATCTCAATTATGTTAAAAAAAATAAAGATTACCAAATGTTAGTAAAAGTTGGGAACATTTTATGTGGAAACAATGAAGATATCCCAGAATATTTTACACCCAGTGTAGTTGATGACATAAAGTTTGCACCTCTAATATCTGTTAATGTTGAACGTTCATTTAGTCTCTATAAACAAATGTTAAGCGATAGAAAAACTAACATGAGTACAGATAATATGGAAAAATATATTATTGTTAATTTATATTATTAAATAGTATTTGAAGTTTCTTTTTTATTCTCCAGAAAGTAAATATTTACCATTGTATGCATCAAAGAAATATTGTTTTTTTTTATACATATATTGTTATTTTATATCTCGTATTAAATTATCATTATTTAAGAATTACCTTTTGTTAACTAACTTTTTTTTGTTTTATAATATTTTAATATATATGATTATTTATTATTTTTTAATACTGTGAAAATAGTGTCAATACAATATTTAATTAAAATATACCAAAGGAATATTGTTTTTACATTTTAATACTATAGACCAGGGGTCGCCAATCAGTCAATCGTTGTAAAATTTATTTTACCACTATCGGTCGATCGCGTAAATTAATCAGATTAATCGGATAATGGGAACATTAGATTAAAATGTTAAAGATCTAAATTCACCTGGATGTCGATCACCAGGGACTTAAATGTCAAATGTAGATCATTTTTTAGAAAATGTTGGCGATCCCTGCTATAGACTATACTGTTATATTTTTACTATATTCCTACTCTTATTTCAAAAAGAAAATAGTGTCTCGGAGAAACTCTAAATTTATAAAAAAAAACACAATAAAATCATTAGTAATATAGTACCTAAATAGGGATTAGAAACTATGTCTATACGTCAGGTACCTTCATTTTAACTCTAGAGGCAAGTCTACAGTCCAATACTCTAACGTTTCAATGTCCAACTGAAATAATTTAAAAAAGAATAACTTTTGATCGCATTTGTGCAATAGTAAAATTACTTCCATCTACTAATTTATATAGAGACAAAATTGATCACAACTTACTACCATAGGTTTACTTAAAATATTAGCAAGAAGATGAAAAAGTACGATTTTGGAACTAAATTTTAATTTTAGATACTCCTAAGTAAAGTGAAAACCATTATACACTAATAATACGTAACAACTTCATGTGCTGAGATTATAGACATAGATGAATATATTTTATCTCAATCTTAAACACAAAACTTTGTGATTCATTATTTTTAATCTAGGAATTAACTTAGTGTTTTTTTCAATTCTAATTTGTTACTCTCTACATTTTTCAATAGAGACCATTTATTCGCTTAACCGCTTATCGCTCGTTGAAGATTATGCATTTTTTATGAAATTTATGTACTCAAAATGAATGTGACTATAACTGTTTCCTTAGTCGAGAGACACCAAAAAGTGAATAGTAATTGATTGTTATAAATTACTATTCACTTTTTGCGTTATGTTGTATCACAGGTTATGTTATTAATATAATATCATAATCACTTGACATGCGTACGGATTTTCAACAAAGTGTGTGTATAAAAATATCGTGGTTTCAATAGTAAATTTACTCATTGGTTAGCAACCAAATATTGCTGTTATTGTTTACATTTTATTAACTATTTATCTACACTCTATAACATTCGTATTCTACATCAATGTGTATTGTATTGTATTGTTACAATTTTTCAAACAACTAATTATTGTGATTTCAGATTTATCTTATTGAGTTAGCTCTTTTATCATTACTATCGGTTGTTCATATTATACTGCGCATATTATCAATTGATCATCATGGAGTCCTCCAAAAAATTGGAAACATTCATAAAAAATAGTTTAAAACTGTTGCATCGCACCAAAGATCCAAGTTTCATTAGAACAATGTTAAAACATATGCAAGAAGTCATACAAGAAGAGTTCAGTGGAAAACAAAATCCAAAAAAAAGACTGCCAAAAAGTTTATTGTACCTACTATTCTTATATCAAAAGAATTGAGTAGTGAACAAACAGAAGTACGTATTGTATGTCATTACTTATGATGAAAATTGAGTAAAAAATATTTACTAATTAATTTGTTATAATTTAAAATTCTATAGATGATTATTAATCACGAGTCTATCAGTTTTAGTTTTGTATCAAATCTATTACCAAGCACGCCAAAAGCCATCGTAGAAGTATCTTCATCCCCCCCCACATAGCTATACATTGGAAACAGAATCAGAACCAGATTCGTTCATCAATACCGATTCAGATTCTGAAATGAAAACTGAAAATATGGAGTTATATTCCTATATTCCTATAGGAGTTATAATGCTACTACCTGCCACTATTAATTTAACGATTTTAGTATTTCGGTATGAACATATACGATTATTACATGCGGAACCACAGGCGAGTTAGTTAATTAGGCGAGTTATCGTCAATAAGAGAACAGTATTGGCCTATTAACGGCATAACGGCAGAAATATAGCGAGAAAAATTGTTCACTAATGAATTAAGTGTTTTCAACAACTGTACAGCCATTTATGGGCAATTTACCAAAGGAACGTGTAAACCCACCAAGTATTCCTTTTAAAATATGCGGTATTGGTTTTGGTGGTCCCATTATGATAAAATCTAATTTACAACGCAAAGGGCCAATAACCAAAGGATATATATGTATATTTGTATGCTTCACGACTAATGCAATACATATAGAATTAGCTAGCGATTTATCTACTGAATATTTTTTTAAATATACTGAAACGATTTTGTAGCTGACGTGGCGTATGTTCGGACATTTACGGTTGGAACCCGATTGAGCACGATTGATCTTTTTCGTAATCGTTCTCAATTGATGAATTGTTATACATTTTTGACTCCATTTTTAAATATACATATAGAGATTAGTAATGGGCACTATCAAACAATTGGATAGTTTTTCATAATTATCAATTGTTCCGAATTATTCGAAACTATTCGGACTTTCAATAGTTTTCAATTATTCAATATTATTCAATTTTTCAAATTATTTGAAACTATTCGATAATTTCAAATTATTCAATTATTCGATAGTTTTCGACTTCTGAATTATTCAGTAAAATTTGAAATCAGATTGGCTTAAATGATTTTTATTTTATTTTGAGATATCTAATTACTAATGTGATAACTGATTACTGATAAGAATAACTTATTAACAAAAAACGTTAACGTTAACGTTTTGTTATTTTACTCGATACCAATAGTTATTGATGTAAAAACTATTAGGTCATACAAAATGATATATTCGATTATAATAATCGATATAGCTATGATTACTATCGCATACTATTTGCTAGAATAAACTATTCGATAGTGCCGCCCATAAGTAATTCAAAGAATCATTACAAAGTATATTAGTCATATGTGTTTTAACCACTCAGACTGTCCACCCACCAACCGGCGAACCGTAAGCGATCATCGTCGCTGAAATGTTTTTGAATCGCAAACGATTAAACACCAGCTGTCTCACGCTCAAGTGAATGGACTAGTCTCATCATCGTGGCCAATGACGACTCCAGATTTGCACCTGGAGGGGACGATGCATACTACAGAAATGATCCTGTGAAGTATGATCTTAATCATTGGACTTTAGTTTACTTGTATTTGTATTACAAATGTTCTCTTCGCCTACGGTTTTTGAAACATCAATGTACACGTTAGACGTTCTACTCTGAAAGTTATTCGCATTTATCGCTGATTAATATGTTTTTAATGTAAAACTGTTTAATGATCATATGTAATTATTATAAATATGTTGGTTTTAAGGTAAAAAAATCAATTTAATCTTTGCTATGTAAAAAATGTTCATTTACAGCGCCATCTATTGACACGAACATCAACCGAAATATTTCAAATTTTTATAATTTATCTAATCTTATACCTGTTCAGTTTCTATAACTATACGAAAACAATACCCCTATTAATAATTTGTTTTTAATAATATTGGTTAGTAATTGTAAAATGTCGGGATTTAAATTTCATCAAATAAAAGTATTTCGATTTTTTTCATTTATTTCTGTCTAATTAAGGAAATCTGAAATTTGGAAACCGACTGATAACAGCAACGATTAATGATAAAGAATAATGATTATATTAAACTTCAATAGTTCTTATTTTGTTTATACAGAACTTTTTGAAATGTTTTACTGTTAACTTTGATTCGGCGCTATTACAAATACATTTCAATCGTATTCATGTTTGAATTATAGTCTTATTAGTTAAGTTTAGATTATCTAATTATGGCTGAGTTAGTATTGGATATCAATATTCGTGGTTGGGTGTTTTTACCTATCGTATTAATCACATTCCTCGTCGGTGTTATTCGACATTATGTTTCGTTATTAATTACGTCTCAAAAAAAAGTCGAACTAACACAGGTACAGGACAGCCAAGTATTAATTAGGTCACGAATGTTACGTGAAAATGGTCGATATATATCTAAACAAGGGTTCTACATGCGTCGTCATTACTTCAACAACGAGGAAAATGGCTACTTTAAGACACAGAAACGATCTGCTCCCGCCCAAACTGCTATGCCGGATCCAAGCATGATGACTGAAATGTTAAAAGGCAATGTGACCAATGTCTTGCCAATGGTGGTCATAGGTGGATGGATCAATTGGATGTTTTCAGGATTTGTTACTACCAAAGTACCGTTTCCTTTAACCCTACGTTTTAAACCAATGTTGCAAAGAGGTAATTTTTCCAATATCATGTTCCTTTCTGTTGGTTCTAACAATGTTAATTTTTCAAATACATCTCAGGTATTGAATTGGTTTCATTGGATGCAGCCTGGGTATCATCTGCATCATGGTATTTTTTGAATGTTTTTGGGCTTCGAAGTATATACGCTTTAGTTTTGGGTGAAAATAATGCTGCTGATCAATCACGTGTAATGCAGGATCAAATGTCTGGCGCTGCAATGTCCATGCCTATGGATCCAAAAGTAGCTTTTAAAGCAGAATGGGAAGCATTGGAAATTAGTTCTCATAAATGGTCCCTTGCAGATCTCGATAATGAAGTGCTGAATGTCTTAATGAATAAAAGTATTAAATAATAATTTGGTGATCAAAGAGAACATTTTTTTTTACTAAAAGCACTTATGGCTTAAAAAATATTGAGCCTTAAAATTGTTTTTCTTATTTTTTTTTGTTTAAATTATTATCTTTTACACCTTAAAATATTTAAGGTAATGAGATCATTTGAAAATGATATACAATTTCGAATGTACCATTTTACATTTTGTTTCGTTTGTTTGAAATTAAATGTATCATCGAAATGACTAAATTTTTTATTTGCTTACTGTCTTCTATTTTCATTGAGCATTAATTGATAAACTGTACAATTGTTATAAATTAAAGTTATATTAAAATATTTAATGCATTCAATAAACTGGACCAATATAAATATATCTACTAAGGATTTGATTCATATGCAGTGGCGTATTTTGGGGGGTGTCCTCCATGTCTGGACATCCCTCGATTTTAAAAAAAATAAAGGCCTTATATTATATTGATTTTATCGTTTATTTTATAATGCTTTTATTTAATAATAAAATAAACGGCACAACAAAGTAAACAAAAAAATATAACTAGGCCAATATTGTGACAATAAAATAGCTTAGCTATCCACAGAGAAGTTAATATTGATGTCAATAAAGTGATTGACGAACGTATTTTAAAGAAGAGGCACTTAGATCTCTAGTAATAAATAAAAATAATAATAATATTGTAATTTATTGTAATATTACAATATATTTTAATATCTTTGTATCTGTACAATATTATAAAAGGTAATTTTTAGAATAAATCTTAGTGATTAGTATCAAGTAATAACCTCCAACATGTCTATTATACCATGTAATGGTCTTAAATTACAAATTACTTGTTAATTTCTCGTTATTTAAAAAAAGTTAGTTCGATATTTCTTCACATCAGTAAATACAGTAGAATCCGCTTATAACAATCTATAAGGGACCTAAAGAATCAGATCGTTATATCCGAAACTCGTTGTATGCGGATGACGAAAACATTATCTTCGTGAGATATAAAATCGACCAAATATATAACTAGGAATCGTTTTAACAAGAATATCGCTGTATACGGCATCGTAATAAGCGGAAATCTACTGTAGTTCTAAAATTTTCGTTTGTGAAGTTCATTAAATGTTGGACATCCCCCGAAAAATCACCCAAAATACGCCACTGTTCATATGTAAGGTTGTCTTACATCCTGGATTTGCTAGACCTATGTCAGTTTCATAACATAAACGAATAGTTAGGGTTTCATTAAGAATATTTACACTAATCAATTACATAATTGAAAGTTTTAAACAAAAATTGTTTATACTCAATTATATTATATTATATTTCAATCCAAGAAATTCCTTTTGTTTGTGTGAAAATATGTATTTAATAACCTTAAGTCAATTATTTAGAAATCAAATCATTATTTTTTGGTAGGTATAATAGTTATTTATAAAATCTTCTAATAAATTACAAATGGTGAAATTCTCTAAGAAAGTATTCAAATTTGATAAAGCTTCTATGTTGATAACGTTAACATAATATTGGAAGCTTGAAGTTTTGCAGTATTTTCCAATTATTAATTACAATACATTTTATTAGAGATCATTATAATTTAAATATCAAGTATCACAGTATTTAGGATAAGATTTTAATTAAATTGTGAAAAACTTGGAATTATTATTTTTAATACTGATTATATTATTTTACATTAACACCGGGTTATAAATCATTGTATGTGAACCACCCATGGTTCATCAGTGTTTCACGACATATCTTTAATTATAATTAACATTATAACTAATTATAATTTCATGTTTATTTTTCAACATATACTATAGATGATTTGCACTATCACATAAGTGTATAACACACTAGAATGAAATTAAAAAACTATAAACTATAATTTACATTGCGTTTATCTAAGACTAAGTTACACAGACTTTATGTAACCTGTTAGTAACTTATTTTAAAATGGAAATAATGTATTAATTAAATGAAACAATAAAAGTTCATTCAAAAATTTTGTTTTAATTAAAAATGAAGTTTTATTCGATTAGTATTTTAATATAAATATGAAATTATTCATTTGATTGCTGAGACTCAAATTTAGGATATTTAGTTTTTGCTACATTCCAATCAATATTGCCTTGTGATAGATTGTACATCAAATCCACAACTTCGGCCACCTATAATAACAAATAATGAATACATCAAATAAAATTTACTTAAAAATAAAGCTAATATTCTTACAGGTACTCGGATTTGTTCCATTGAATCCCTTTCTCGTATTGTTACTGATTGAGGTTCATTCAATGATTCAAAATCTACTGTAATGCAATATGGTACAGCAATCTCATCAGTTCTTGCATAACGACGTCCTACTGAACCACTAGAATCATCAATTTTGTTGGAGATGCCTTTTAGGCATAAGGTCTTAGCTAAAATATATTTAACAAAATTATTAAAAATTAAAAGACTATTATAACTCTATAATACTCACATAATATTGTAACAAGTGGTGTGAATTTATCATTATCAAGTAATGGAAGAACACAACATTTTAAAGGTGCCACTAGTGGAGGCAAAGATAAGTACTGTAAAATAATATCAATTATAATTTTAATAAAAATTTAAATGTTCATTTTAATGCACTTACTGTTCTTTGTTCATCTTTTTCACGTATTTTAAATGTATGTTCTAATAATGTGTAAATAATTCGGCCAATACCAAATGATGGTTCTATAACGTTAGGAACAATCTCTTCAACGTGCACGGTTTTTGAATAAGAATTTAGAGGAATCATTTGTTTATTGATTTGGAACTCTTTGTTACCAATTTTACATAAAGTTAAGCCAGTTTTCGGATCTGGTTTTCTAAAAGTAATAAAAAAAAATTTATAATTAAATACAAGTAGTTTGAAAAACATAAATAAAAAAAATAAAATGTATTCATTTTAGACATTCTATACACATCAAATTATGTCATCTAAAAATAATTACTCATTGTCAATGAATTCATGAAGTTTTTTAACTTCGTCTATAGATAGTTTTGATAATTTTTCAACGCATTCTTTAGAATCTTTGCGTAATGTCTTACCAATTAGACCTTTATCCATTTCCAATTCTATGTCAAACACAATTTAATAATTAATTTATGAATTATTTTCTATTCAGAAATAATATATACCAGTAACTTGAATAGTTTTTGGAGCAGGTAATTTCCTTTCAGCCACCAATCTTTGTTTAGTTTCTTCACCGTGTTTAGTAAGATCATAAGCTGATCTATCTGCACAACCAATACATTCAACCCAACCCTATTCAAATAATACAAAAATATATAAAATTTAAAATCTGCAATTTAAAGCGGCTGATAAATCATTATTACATAAGAGGTAAGACACTCAGCATCCCAGCAATCAACAGCATAATGAGCCATTTCATTTGACATATGTTGTCGGAATCTTAATTTTTCTTTGGTTATTCCAATTCTTATCATAAACATAAAAATACGAGCCATGAAATATCCTAATGTTTGATTAGCAACCAAGCCCTAATAATAAATAAACTATTGTTAATTTGGTATTTAAACTTTAACCCATATAATACATAATTTGTGGTATATTTAATTTAAATTTATTTATATACTTTAGATACAGCTTGACCAATTGTAATGTCAATTGGAGGTTGACCATCCATCTGATTACAAGCACTATATAATTTCATTACAGTATTTTCTACATCACTAAATTTAGAATGTGATTTATCACTTGGGTCACAGAAATGTTCAATTTCAGCCATAGTAAATTCCCTAACATAAAGTATTTAATTATATACATATTTCAGAATAATTATTCAATTTTCGATTTACCGAACTCTTAATAAACCAGAACGAGGAGATATTTCATTCCGAAAAGCATTTCCGATTTGAGCAGCAGCAAATGGCAATCTTCCTTGATTGAACTCAAGTAAACGTTTAAAATTGACAAAAATACCTTGAGCAGTTTCTGGCCTCAAAAATCTATTAGAGTATAATTTAATAATATGTATGCTGTTATATTATATTTTTATTTACCCTTTTTGGTCTCCAGTAGGCCCAATTTGAGTGGCAAACATAAGATTAAAATCAACCGGTTCAGAAAGATCATTGCCAGTAGTAGGCGATTTCATGTTAAACTTCTTGACAATGTCAGACATTTGCTCTGTAGTCATACCATCTAATTTAATTATTATGTCTTTACACTCTTCTTTAATTTCAGATGTTTGTTTTTTATCCTTGATTAAAGTTTCTAGCCGATTCTTGATTAAATGGTCAAGCCTGAAGCACTCTCCTGTTTTCTTATCTTTCACCATAGTATCAGCAAACTTCTCTACATGACCTGAAGTCCTTCAATGATTTAAAATATGAAATCAATATCATATGTTACATAGATTTAATAATAAAAATATTACTCTAAAACTCGTTCAGGTGTTAACATTGAACAATCAATTTCAAGCATCTGTTCTTCAAGAACAAAAAACCGTTTCCATTGTTCCAAAATATTTGATTTTAATGCACAACCCATTGGTCCAAAATCATACAATCCAGCAACACCTAAATAGTATTTAATTATTAGATAATAATATAATTGATTGTATAAATATTAATCATAACATTACCTCCATAAATAGAGAACGATTGATCATAAAAGAATCGACGGATCATAAGATCTGCAAATTTAGACCTATTGAATATCTCAGATGGTGGTTGCAATGAAAGCTCCTTGTCATCTAATAGTTTTTTTAAGGCTTTTAACTCTCCAACAGCCCTTTTCACTTCCATATCGGAAGCATTATTTTCTTTTAATGACCTCACCAAGTCACCCTTATAGTAAATAATAAGTACATAAATTTAGAAAAAATATCCAACATTTTCCGAAATGATCAGACACTCACTTGTTTCTTCACATCTGCTCTCAGCGGAGCTAAAATTACTTCGACTTGTGGATCGGCCATACCTTCTGGATAATAAACAAGCTTTACAAGTGAACCGCTCTTTTTAGTTCCCCAATCACTAACTTTCGAGTAATACCGGCAACCAATAGACAAACGGTATTTTCCAATTACTCCAGCTACATTAAGCAGTCTGAAGACAAATTTTAAATCTAGACACTGCAAACGTGACATAGTACAGTATGAAAGTCTGCTATCATTGGTTATGATGTTTGTAATAGTTCACACAGGTAGATGGCGTAATCACTAACGTAGATTGTAGGGCAGACAACAGTATTGAATATGTACATTCTAAAAATCTGCACAATGCAATAATTGAATAATGCACATTGTCGCAGATTTATATTATTTTAGTCTTTTATCATATAGTTATCTTCATTTTTCATTGACTTTAAAATATAATATCTGTGAATATTTTACTTTCTTTAAGAGCAAATGTTCAATCTCGTGCCTCGTATAGCAATCAAAAAAGATATTGTGAACGTAGAGAAGTGGAGCGTTCATAACGCTCCAACTTTAATACTTAGCACACAAAATAAAATATAGAAGAAACTAATGAAATACAGCTGGCAAAATATTGAAATGAGAAGTTAATTAACTATTTCAAATAATCTGCTAAGAAATAGGAACTCTTTTAGCCTTATCTAAAACGAATATCCTAAAAATATTGTATGAATACATCACAACTCGTCTATATAAAATGTCATCTTCAAAATAACGTAATAGGTCAATAAACTCTTTACCGAGGAATAGTATGAATAAAAAGAAAGTGAAATTCTACCCGCATATGAATAATGAGATTATAAATAGGTATTTCGTAATTGGCATTTTTAGTATTTTTTGTTTCTGTATAGTCAGTCTGAAAACTTGTTAACATGATCAAAGTATACAGAATCGCAAAGAATGTTAAATTTTCCAAGGGAAGATAATTAAACTATATTTTGTATAAATTGGTGTTAGGAGCGTAATAAATAACAATTCCCAAAAAAAACCTAACAATGAAAAAAAGCCAAGTTCCAAACTCCCTCCCAAAAAAGTCGGCCTATCAAAGTAGGTAGTGAAATCTACATAGAAGCAGGTCCGTAATAGCCCACCGGGCAACCTGGCAGATACACGATACGCCCATGAAAATTACTATGAATGATATGCCCATACAAATTACGGCTACGATTAAGATTTTGGAGAGATATCCATTGTTTCTCATTAATAAATAATAAGCCGATGGTGTTCAGTTATACGTCATTCTAAATAATGATTCTTTAATCTGTAAGCTATTGGATCATAGGTAACCTGAAGGACTAAATAACAAAAATTAAGGGGCCCTTAAATATTTTCATAACTGTCCCATAAGAGCAGCCAGAACGGGCCTGCATAGTGGCCAAGTCTGATATTTTTTAATTCATAACCTCACTGCACTAATACAATAAAATATTATCAATATTATAATAACAAAATTCTATAGGCCTACATTTTCAACTGGCTTGGTGTAGCCCAGTCTTCACATACATAACACCCAGTTTAGCAATAGTAAAAACTTGTAAAACTAGATATATCTATCATATCAAAATATAAAATAACAAACCTCTTGATTTTTTTTTTTTTACATTGTTATAGCAGCATATAATTTATGTTATTAACAATTTTAAAGTTATATTTAGTCAAGTAAAAATTAAAATATACTCTAGAATTTGTCATGTTAATCTGATAATTGACAAGTTTTTTATACCATTTAGCATTTAAGAAAGAGGAAGTTGGATAACTACATCAAAGGAAAATCAATAAATAATAATATATTTGGAAAAAATTGATTTACTGAAACATAACATAAGATGTCATTATGTTAGATTTATGTCTTAATTCCTCTTGGGGTACTGAGTTCCAGAGCTGAGAACAAGTTGTAATCCTGAGATGTTTTGGAAATCCTGAAGAAAAATTAATACAAATTACCATAAGATATTCATAAATAAATTTACTTATAAAACAAAAACAATAACATACCAGCATTTTCAACATGTCTTTGGTTTCAGTATCAACTTCAATAACATCTTGTTCAAGAGCAGAAACTTCTGGTACATAGTTGTCTCTCCTTTCACGTTCTTCTTCTTGCAATTTAATGGAAATACCACGGACTTGGCTAGTACGCAATCTTTTCATTAAATGAGTAACAAACCTTAAAACATAAGTAAATTGTAATTTAATAAAATGAAAATAAAACCTTTGATTATTAATTCAGCCATGAATTAATTATATTAGAAAAACAAATACAGTTGTAATATACATTTTACAGTTTCTTAAAAAAATATTCAAATGTAATTAGTAAAATTAAGCTAGTTCTTATAGTGATATTACGTTTTTATTTGCATATTACTTTTGTCTTTCATCTTAATTATTCTCAGATTTTTAGTATGAGTACAGTACAGGTGAAAGATATTGTTTTTATTACTAATATTCAATCACTATACAACAGATTAAATTTTAAACAATTATGTATAAAAAGTACTAATATAGGCATTTAGAAATTTTCATTTGATGTATTTAGCTCGAGCTCCTTTGGTATTACTAATGGTACCGTTTAGTTTGATTTGCACAAATTAATTCTAAACAGGATCTTTCCTTCTTCCTGCCTTTTTCCAAAGCCATTATGATATGATAGTCAACTAGCAACTAATAACTAAATTTCAATACTAAATAGTTGATAAGAAAATGAAAAATTTAAAATCGTTCATAACTCCTATAATATAAGGTCTATGGTATCTAACATTTTTTTGAAAATACTACCAATTGTTAGTATGTTACATATTATTGAAATCTTTGAAAATATAAAATTATTGCATTTTAAAACTATAAAAAATAATATATGTATAAATATAGGAATATTAAATTAACTACTTTTGATTTAAAAACTACCTTACTGTGGAAAAATGTATTGTCTGAATATAATTTAAGAAAAAGAGGTTTACAAATTGTTGACAAAATGTAATACAAATAAATAATATCTTAAGAATAAAAAAAGTAAAATTTTACAAAATGTTTTGTGACAGAAAAACTTGTCTAAAAATATGGTACACGCTTAGATTTAACTTAAATCAAGTGTTTGCAAAACTATATTATCTTTCTAATATAGTAATATCTTAATAAGTAATATGAATAAGGTTGAATAAATTTAAGTTTAGTTGATAGGTTTTAGTTAATTAATGTATTGACCAAGAATCCATTTTAAATTATTTATTAATTAACATTAAAATTACATTAAGAGAATTATTATATTTAATATACAATATTTAATTTTCAATGTTTTAGCAATTTCCCAATGTATTTTTTATATACACATAAAAATTGTGTAGGCAAAATGCCCTATATTATAATAACAAAATAATTTGTAAATGTTATATTTACCCAGCAATTTTGTTACGCAGAGGCTTTGTTGGGATGATAGCGATTTCTTCACATATCCTCTTGTTGGTGTGAAAATCTAATGTCAAACGAGTGTAGTATTTCTCGATGATGACCCTAGAGGCTTTCTTGATAGTCTTCGTCCTAACACGACCCTAATTTAACAAAATTAAATGATATTAAAAGGAATGAAAATACTATTAACGCAGTACGGTTTAGGTACGATTAACTAAAACGGTCATCGATCAGCCATCACTTTATAATTGGTAGGCCTTTGCCATTCCAACATTCGCTATGTAAAAGTATCTAAAGTTCGATATAATAGGACATAATGGATCAAAGTTAAAGGATTAATTAGATAAAACCGGATACTCACCATGATTGAGTTTTCTTCAAGTCAGAATATGAAATATTAGAAAATAAACAACAAATCGGGTGAGCACATAAAAGACTGATCAAGAGGTACGTTTGAGGTTATTCGACAGTTTGGCCAATGATTAGTAATTATAGATAACCTACAGTGCTGGCACACTTACGCGATAGCTTAACTATGATTAAATATGATAACTCGAATATTGATATATTCATAGTAAAAAAGAAAAGGATATATTTCTCGACATCATAGATAAAGGAAAAATTCTATTAAAAGATAATAATAGAAAAATCTATTAATTTGCTTGACATACATTATGAGAATAGATGCTGTTGGTGTGTGCGTTGGGGTTGTAGAAAATCGAGACGAGTGGAGGTTTAGGACAAGGGTGGTCGATACCAAATAGATGAAAGAAAAGCGAAGAAGAAGAAGAAGTTATATTTCTCGAAATTTTATTGTTTGTAATTAAACGTGAAATTATGAAAAATGACGTCAAAAATTAAAATTAAACGATGGTTTGGAATGTTCCGACGACATTGCGCTTGCAACGTTATGAATTAATATTACCTCTGTATTCATATCATAATTAAAGATATATATTATATAAGATATATATATTGTGTATTCAGGGCTGAAATCTAATCTAATATAATGTTTTTTACGTAATCTTTTTTCGTTGTTTAGATCGACGGCCGTGCCTGCAGAACAGTTGGTGACTGAACCAGTGACCGCAATCTTCAAAATTCCCGTGAAAATTATTATTTATATAATTTTTACCCCTACAATAATGATAAAAAATACGAATTCTTATTTTTCATACATCATTATTATTAAGTTAATATTATTATATTTAAAGAAACAAATTTCGAACCACGAGGCCCCCTTAAAAGTGCTAGGGCCCGGACAAGGGCCCTGTTTCCTACTCCTTCACGCCGGCAGTGTGTATCTTAAATCACGATCCATGCATATTATATAATTAAAAAACAAATTGTGTAAATAATTTGGAATATCAAGTAATCTCATTATATGTACCAAATATGATCAAGATCTATAAAATACAATGGATATATTTGATGCCATTAATGAAAATTTGAGTTTAGGCAATCAATTTTTTCACACTTGTTTAATTTAAACATAAATCAATTAAGCACCTATATTTTCATATAAAAAAACATATTATTATAAAAAAATAAAAAACAATTATTCATTGTTATACGTAGGAATAGTTTGTTGATTTTAAAACTTAATTAGTATTTGTAAAAATTATGAATCATTTTGCCGTAAAATATGTGATAATAATTGAAATGACTTTATTTTATAATTACAGTGAGGTACCTATTTCTTTAGTCATGTCTTATGTTGAAGAATAATTAATATATAATTGAATTAAAATATTCATTTTTCAAATAATTTATATAGTTTTATGTTCCAATATTACGATAGTGCCGCCAACTTTAACCCATGTGATTTTTTTTATAATTTTAGAAAAACCAAAAAAAAATGCAATCTGTAATAATTTATACAATAGGTTAGTTAAAATCAATGGTAATATACATAGTAGAGACAGGGTTGGATTTATGGGGAGGCGACGTAACGATTGCCCCCCCCTCTTGGGCTTTTTTTTACAGATTTATTTAATATTTTTATATATTATTGTAAATATAGAAGAAGTCATTAATAGGTTTGCAAATGAAAAAAAAAAAAGAAATGTTAAATTATTATTGTAATTTTTTTGAATAGTAAATATTTATTATATGTATAAGATACCTAGTTAATTATTTGTATTAAGCGTTGTACTTATTTTTCAATAAATTGGTTAAATGACGGTCAAGTATTTGTTGTAATCTATATATCACTCATAAATATGCCTATTCGCCCCCCCCCCTAAACCAGGCTTCAGATTCACTCCTGGACAGAGGTAGGTATGGTATAAGGAGTAACGTTTGGATAGAAATGGTTGGTGTCTATTGATGCTACAAATCTTTGATATTGGTATTCCAGTTTTGTTCTAATTTTAACTGTAGGTATATATATTTTCAATGGAAATATGGATTTATTTATTATTGAGAATATTTCTAGTCATTTTCGTTTCAATCGTCATGAAGAATTAATAAGTAGTGGAGAGAAAAGAGGTTTGATATTATAAGGTTGGAATGATTGTGTTTTTATGAAATAGTTTATATTATTTATAGAAGTGGGTGATTAGTGTAGGAATATTTGAAATTTTGAATTCCGAATGTAAGGTTATAGATAATAACAATATAAATTATGGGTGGCAAACAATCAAACCAAGTAACTATTAAAACGTTTATTGATGTAAAAAAAAGAATACGGCGGGTCATTACTCAACGTCTCAACAACACAAAAACGTCGGTTGTAACGGCGGTAACTAGAATGACTGCAGAGGGAGGGTAGGTCTTTGGGCAGCCCTTACCAGAACGGCAAAGTCAGTGTAGCCAATAGCTAACATAGATTACAGGTAAATTATTTAAATATGAGGGTATTAGAAATTAGGCAAAGGCATATTTACCGGAAGATGGATATCTAGAAGCATGGGCACCGACTATTAGGGTACTGCGGTGCTCGATCATTCAATAGTTAATTTTATGGGGTGCAGATAATATAAATAATTAATACCTACGTTAATATTATACGTCATGTAGAAATAACTAGTTTTAATTAATTTATAATTTTGGTTTTCTTGTTATTTTATCGTCCATCAACGACGATTGCGACGATAACAATATTATATGTAGTAGGTACCTCCGAAATAATAAAATAATTAATAATTATTAAAAAAAAAATATATAGACTGCAGTTGGTAGTAATAAGTCTACGTTCGGTCAAAAAATGATGTCAATAAACGAGTAATGTTTTGTTGATTTATTTTTATTATATAGTTAAGATTTTTATTTAGGTACAAATTAAATAACTTAGGATTTGGGCACTCCATTGAAAATTGGAAAATTTGGCTCCCATGTCTAGAAGGATTGAAATATAGAAATATTTTAATATTTCATGTATCAGACGTTTGAAATAAAAATATATTATTTATAAAATTATAGTTAAAAATATAACCGAAATAAAACAAAATAACAAACATCCTTGCAACAATTTTGGTGGCAGCTACCGATTAATTAACCAATTACCTAAAGCTTCAAAAAAAATGTACCATCAACAATTGGTCAATAAGACATGTTTCTATTAAGTTATTAACACTATAATTTAATGAAATGTTAGATAAATATTTTCAATAGTATTTCTTTTTATAGATAATAGCTGTTATGGATGTGTATAACAAATTATAATAAATACCAAAATATGGTGTACATAATAGTAAAAGTTATTTAGTAAAACATTAACACTTACAATAGAAATTTATTTCTGGATATACTACTGGTGCCTAGATTTTGATAGACTGAAAAACGTATAACATACAATATTTAGATACAAATCATTTATTTTTTAGTAGTTTACAGATGTTACATTATGTTAAGTTATATTACAAAGTTATTAAACATTTAAATATTTTAAATTATAAAATTGAATTATTTTTTTTTTTAGTTATCTGTTTTATAATGTAATTTGTATAGTAGGTAACTGTAATTTCACGATGAATATTGTACATTTAAAATTAATTAGGGCATTTTTTTTAATTATCATCGAAAGAATTGTTTTAAAAAATTATTTAATAGGCATTTCTAGGTACCAAAAACACCTCTTTGGTTGCACCACTAATCCTAGATCAATGTTAGGGACTTGTTGAAAAAAGAGAATAATCTCTTTTAAAAGTAAAATATAATATTTTACATATACTGATAGATTTATTATATATTACTAAACATAAAAGTGTATTTATCTTTCTTCTTCCTAAGTAAGACAGTATAGGGTTAATAAAAAATAATGAAAAATTAATATTATAATATACTGGAGTAGTGGTGTAGATAGAATTTATTTCTTGAGGGGAGAGTGTTTAAAAGTCAATTCATAATATTCTATTATTATGGTCTCGTATTTAATGAAAATGATTTTGTTATTCAATTATTAATATATACTTAATCATAGTAAAATGAAAATATAATCTTACTATAATGTGTAAATATTAATAAATAATAATTAAATATCATTAAAAAAAATCTGGGGAGGTGGAAACCCCTTAAACCCCCTCCATAACTACGCCACTGTACTGGAGGTAAAGTATAATATATAATAATAAGCATAATTTATTTGCTTTTGTAAATAAAACAAGTTTATCTTCTACCACAACAAAGCCTTAATTATCATTATTACTTTATGAATTTGAGAATATGAATTTTATACCTATATACTGAATTATTTATTTTTATTATTGAACTATGCATACAAGTTTTATACTAATAATCAAACAATAATAGAAATGAATAATTTTTTAAAATATAATTACTATTATAGTTATATAATTGATAAACATTAACACAAAAAAAAAAAAAATACAACAGATTCTTTTTTTATATTTTAAGTAGTCATTTTATTGGATTATTCAATAAATTTAAAAAAAAGGTTTATACCACTACACATTTAAAATCACTGGTGAATAATAAATGTTTAATTTTCTTGGAAAAATGCAAGAATAATATTAATTTAATCTAAAATATTTAGTAAATTCTCTAATAGGTAATATTTGATTTTTTTTCTTGGATTTAAATATTTTTGAACAACTCAATAATGTCAAACCAGACATCTTCAACATTTTTCCCTGCATCAACTTTTTTGACCAAGTTTTTCTCTTTAAAATATTCTATAATTGGCATTGAATCATTTTTAAACGTCACAATTCTCTTTTTTAAAATTTCTAAATTATCATCAGCACGACCACTTCCAGCAGCTCCTCTTTTTATACATCGTTCAACACATATCTACAAGGAAAATAAAAAATAATATTGTATGCTGATATACTATTTAAATTAATTTGGAATAATAAATACGAACATTTTCAGGACAATCTAGAAATAAGACAAACAAAAGTTCAACTTGATCTCCGATAGTATTGTTCCAACCATTCATGTTATCTTTATTTCTTGGAAATCCATCAATTAAAAACTGATTGGCCGCTGATGTTTCCATTGCATTTTGAATAAGTTTGCATGTGATTTCGACTGGTACAATCGAACCATTCTTGATGTGAAAGTTAATCAATTCACCAAACGTACTGTTTGGTTTACTGCATTCAGCACGCAACAAGTCACCAGCCGAAAGGTGAACGAAACCAAATTTGGATACTATGTTGGAACATTGCGTACCCTTGCCAGCACCCGGGCCTCCAAGCACAAAAACAACTTGAGGTTTGCTCATAGTAGCGAACAGACGATATACTGAATGGAGAAATGTCATGCAACTGGTATTTGTATCATCATTCGAAGCCGCGAAGGAGTCGGCTGTTGCACAACATAATTACGTACACTCGATAATTTAATCGATAAGTACTAGTTATGAAAAGAAGAATTTAATTCACGTTTCCTTTTTTTTTTTTTTTTTTTTTTTAATAATACTGTTTAACTGTTAAGCTATGTCATTTGTTGTGATTTTTGACGATGCTTGACGACTTGACGATAGTAATTTTGATAACAAAATGTGGTTTGCGGGAAACAGGGTTTAAACCATAGAAGTACTCGTATATACGTAATATTTTATTCTGCGTTAAATCACGGTCATCAGGTTTTAAGTATGTGTATAAGGCCGCGGTGGCGAGAAATCATAGAGAACATAATGGAATAATCTTCGACCATATAAACTAATTTTATGTTTGTATGGTCAAAAGGAATAATAAATAAAAAATTAAAAAATATGAATCTATCATCGAACCGAGAATTACCTAGTGATTACTGATTAGCGACAACCCCGGTCTACTGCGGCACAACGAAATGCAAGACCGTGGTCGTTGGCTTTCCTACACTGATTACTGTTTCGTTTACGCTTTCGTTTGTTGGTTCATCTGAATTCACCGTCCCGTAAAACTTCAAAATATAAACAATAAACAAATACAATGTACATCCATTGTGGTCAGCTGTGATAACAATTGATGCTAAGATTATATTATATTCACATTATTTCATTGGTAGTTCGGTACCGGTTGTAAATATAGTTGTAACAATTTAACACCTATTACTGAACATTTCATTCAGTTCATTGTATTTGCTTAACTATTGAATATTTGCTGTTTATCATGTGCATTTTGGACATGACATTTCCTGTTAATGTCCGTTGATAGATTTGGATCGTTGGATTAGTCGCCGAATCAATCCTTCGGCTGTAATTCAAGTAATTTTCTTGATTAAATTGGCTGAAATTGACGTGTTATGGCCGCAGTCAGCTAGTTACCAATAATATATATAAATATATATTTTTTTCTCGCATCCAAAACTTGATTTGGATTTTTTAAAAGAACTTATCTTTCGCGTTCGCCATTGTTATAATAACAATATATTTATAATTTAAATTTTATTTTATTGCAACCATTGCCACTAAAACATTGAAATGCGATAAATTTATTTCAATTTTATATTTTTAAATTCATTTTCAGCATAGCTATTTTTCTAAGAAGAAACTATAAATTAAAACTAAATCAACTGCTTCGCCCTAAAAATAGTATTGATTTATTTTCTAATAATAATTTCATTGCTTACGACTTGGGTTCTGCATCAATATTATTATCTAACTTCCTACATGACAAATGTAACTAGGTTATTTGAGATTTAATTTATGATTATCTTTAACTTTAAGATTAAATGTTGGTTTAAATAATTTTAAATAAATATAAACAATTTTATTGAATGGCTGGCTCAAAACAAATTAATATTAAATTTAATTTGAAATATTTAATTTTAATTTATATAACCGATTTTAAAGAAAAACAAGAAATATTTTTAATACCATTTTATTCATACAATTTTTTTGTGTTATGATCTTAAAGTTCAATTACTAGTTAAATGTATTTTTCAATCCTTATGGGCCTTATGGGTTGTAAATTAAATATTTTTTGTTTACTAAAATTGAATCCAAAATAAGTTCAAAATTTTAAAATATTATTTCAACCAATCTCAATTATTCAATTAAATTTAAATTAATGTAAATTTTCAATTTTATTTATATTTTTAGGAGTTAAATATGATTCATTTACAAGCATCTGAATTTTTTCAAAACATTAAATATTACCATAAAGACATAGATGACATTTTTGAACAACCTTCAAATGTTATTCCAACATTAAGATCTTACCAACGTAGAGCTGTCAAATGGATGGTAGATAGAGAAAAAAACAATAATTGTAAGTTGATAAAAATAAATATTTTTAAATTTTTAATTGATATGCAATTTTTTTCTAGTGGTTAAAAGTGATGGATCGCCGTTCAGTGGAGGAATTTTAGCTGATGAGATGGGTTTAGGTAAAACTGTTGAAATGTTATGTTGTATTATGTCTAATACAGCACCACCTGAAGTAATATAGTTACATAGTTTTTTTAACTAATATATTTTTATAATTTAATTATTATTATTTTTTTTAGTTTTATAATAAAAAAATTGTATTTAATACCAATAAATATGATTCAGCAACAGATTTACTACCAAAATCACCTAGGCCATCAACAAGTAAATACATACAATACTCTACTGATTTAGATCTAGAAAATAAGTCAAAAAAAAGTTCCCGTCATATGCTTCAAAATTGGTATAATAGTGTATTAAGTGATATGAGTACTGTATCAAAAAAAAGTATTCCTTACGAAAAAGATGCTCCAATTATTGAATGCTATTGTATTAACACACCACCAAAAAGCACTTTAGTAATTTGTGCAGTGTGCAGCAAAGGCCAGCATGCAGAATGTACGCATTTTGAACCAAAACCATTTGAAGAAGTACCATACTTGTGTGCTAATTGTTGGACTTTAAATGATAAACTTCACTGTAAAGCTACATTGATTGTTGTTCCACAATCTATTCTAAATCAGTGGATTGATGAGGTATTATGTTTTATTTCATTATATATTTTTAGCTGATACTTAAGGTGTAATTTTATTTCTGTAAATTAATTTTCTTACCATATGTAGACAGTGGTATATTTAAGGAAGGGCCTGCTCCTCTTCATCCATATCGTACATTTTAACACAATAATATCTACTTGTATTATATTATATAATGTAAGATAAAATATTGATTTGTTATTTGCAAACAATAATAAAAATATTAAAAACATTGTTTTGCAATAACGAATTCTTATACTTTTAATTTGAGCAAATTTTTTTAAATTAAGCAACAAGTCGTATGTAATATTTTGGCTAACATAATACAAGTAAAAAAATGCCTTACAAAGTATTTGAAAAGCTGCTGATAATTATTTTAAAAAAAATAATGGAAAATATTTTTAAATTAGTTTCTATTGTAAATGTTGATATTAAAATGTCTCATATTTGTAATGGACAGATCAAACATGATAATGTTAGTTTCCATAGTGCAGAAGAATATTCTAAAGTATCTATATATATATACCATTTTCTCGATCATTTAATATCCCAGTTGATTTTAACTTATGATTTTGGTGTTATATTTGGTAGGCCCCTCCCTTGGGAGATTTCTGGCTAGGCCACTGGATGTAAGTAGACAGATAAGTATCAACATAATATGTCAGTATTAATTTTAAATTTTTTAGTTTTAATTAAAGTTATTAGATTTATTAGCTTTTTTTTTTTTTATTTACTTATCTGAAAATAAATATTGTACTTTTAACTATGTTTTTTCTAAGTATTTTTAAATATTAATAACCTTTGGGATGAAATCTTAACTTCTTACTTTCAAGGAAACTTTAAACGTCTTAGAGCTATATTTATTTGGCTTAGTATAGAGTATATAACTATATGTATAATAAAAACTGATAAGTATATTATTCTTCTAGTTTGTCTCAAATATGTAAAATACTGAAAAATGTTAGTTGCTGTCATGATACCAGTATGATATTACACACCATTGTTATAAAATAAGGATATGATAAAGAATGTATTTAAACTTTTTTATTAGCTCTGTATTAAATAAAAATACTATAATTTTATTTCAGATAGAAAAACATATCGCTAGTCCTGGTTTAAAAGTTTTTGTTTACAATGGTGTGCATTTGGATGGTTATGTTCAACCAATATCTTTCAATGAATATGATATTGTAATAACATCATACAACAATCTTTCAAGAGATTTAAATTATGTTGGTAATTCTGTAAGTATGCTTGTATAGAACTAAATTATCTGAGAATAGTCAATTATTTTAATTGACTAACTAATTAAACAAATATTTAAATTAAATAAAATGTATTTTTTCTGTAATGTGTTAAACGAAGACAAAATAAAAAAAAAAAGTAAAATAAAATATATAGTTATAATTACTAATAAAAATATTTTGTTTCACAAATTAATAGTAAAAGTTATTATAAAAATATATTTGAATATATTTTTTCAATATAATACATATACAGTATGTACCTATATAGTATATTAATTAATTAGAAAATCAGTCTATAATTCATGTAGTATGAATATTTGAGTTGAGTTTTTCTTGTAATGTATTATTTGAATAACAGTTTGTTAATATAAATGTATAAACAATTTAAATTTAAATATTAAATTTTATTTTTTTGTCAACATTTTTATGTAGCCATTTTGTAAAATTACTTTTTGATGATATTTTAGAAAAAATAAGTTAAATCAATTGTAGTATCATCAATACCCATCTGAGTACAAATGTTCAAAGTAATGGTTTACTTCAATACTTAATCAAATCAGTCACTCACCTAATGATTTGCTAATATATTAATTATACACGTATTAAAATTGCGATTGAACATTTAGTTAAATCATAAATTAAAATGTAGTAATTTCAAAAAGTCTATTTACTATCATATTTTATTTAATAACAGATATGCATCTATAATTTATAAACAAATATCTGGTTTTATGTATTGTATTGATATATATTTGTATTAGGATTTAGAAAATCGAAATACTACACGTTTAAGACATTCCAAAAAATACTATTATCCTCAGTCTCCATTGCCTTGCATAAAATGGTGGCGAATATGTTTGGATGAAGGTCAAGCTATCGAAAGTACCTCTACTAAAGTATCTGAAATGACATCTTGTTTAAAATCTGTACATAAATGGGCTATGACTGGTACACCTATACAAAAATCATTAAATGGTAAGACTATTATTTTTTTTATAATTTAAAATGTTATGATTACTCATTTACGTATACTTGCATGTTAAATCTATTATAAGTATTAATTTTTACATTTTCAATGTATAAATAAATAAACAAATAGCTTATATATATAAAAATAAATAAATAAAAGCTAAGCTTGAAGTATTATTATATTTGAAAAATATGACTGGTTTAGACTTATAAATTCAGTGTCAGTTATTGACTTTGTATATACCTGATGAGGAATTTTTAATTTGAAACCGGTCTTACTTAACAAATATAATAATACTTAAGCTTGGGCATTAACGAGTTAATAAGTTAAAAGTTAAATTAATTTAACTTATCAACTTATTTTATTACTGATAAATTAATTTAACTAATTTCCTTACAAATTAACTTGAAATTAATGTATTATTTTTTCATTTATCCTAATTAAGTTAATTTTGATTTTCAAGACCAGAAAAATATTTTTGTAAAATACTACGTTCTATAACAAGTTCATGGAATTTAGAAAAATATAAAAATAAAAATTTTGAAGAATTTGTAGATGAGACCATTATTTTTATCACTGTATTAACTATTAATAAGGGTCCCGCCGATTGCAGGAAAAGTACACATTCATCTTAAGACTATTGAGTAAAAATAGCCATGCCATCCATGAATTACATTACCATTGTCATGAAAAATAACCGTCAATTTATATTACAAAAATAGGTATATATTATCATTAATTATAGAAGACAATTATTATTAAAATTATTCCATATTCTATGATATTATTAAAAATTATTGAATAAAAGAAGAAATTTAATAGCTGATCAACATTTTGAGATGACTCTTATTGAGATTCAATAGGTATTTTGATTAACTTGCCCATTGTATTATTTTATTTGTTTAGATTTCAATAAAATTAAATAATATTATATATTTATTTTAATGTTTTGTATCAACTATTTACATTTATTGCCTGTATAATTGTATAGTTACACTTTCAGCTGCAGTAATTATTTTTAGTTTTCATACTGTTATTGAACATTTAAAAAGAAAACTTTTTTTAAATCATATGTGATTTGTATGAAAAAAGAATAAAAACACACGATACATAAATTTGACATTTGAGTACATAAAAACAATCCCAATAAAGAAATGTATATTTTTCTACTCTAATTAGAGTCTAATAAGATTTTTTTCCATTTTCATTATTGTTCATGTTAAATAAGATCTATTGTAAATTATTAATATATATTACTTATATCAGCGCTTAATTTAAATATATTTTTTTTTTGTAATTAACTTAACTTATTAATTGAAGTTAAGTTAATAATATTTTTTAACTTAATTGATGTAATTCTCATGGAATTAACTTAATTGTTGACTTAATTGAACATGAACTCAATCAACTTAACCGAATTAAAAAATATCATTAACTTGCCCAGCCTTGATAATACTACAGACTAAGTATTTATTTATTTATTTTTATATATAAACTATTTGTTTATTTATTTATTTATTAATTTACTAGTATTAGACATTGAATAATTTTTAATTTTAATTAAATATTTAATCATTTTATTATTTATTTTTGTTTTTAGATCTTTATGGAATTTTGAAGTTCCTAGATGTTAGTCCATACTGTAATCGTAATCAGTTTCAGAAGCTTATGAATGGTGAAACTAATTTGATGTATGATTGGTTTTCTAAATTGATTTGGCGTACTTTAATAGAAGATGTTAATTCCGAGTTAAATATACCAAAACTTACTAAAGAACAGCATTGGCTGACATTTTCTCACATTGAAAAACATTTTTACCTTAGCCAACATGTTGATTGTGCTACAAACTTTTCGGATACTATTACTCGGTAATAATTTTACTAATTAAAAGTTTAACGGATTATTATTAATTATAGTTAAATTATAATACTTAATTTGTGTATTCATGTAAATATTAAAGCATTTTTTTTTATTGTATTTAAAGCATTTTCCCAAATCTAGATATATCGTTTAAAAATATTGATAGGAAAGTTATATTCACCATAATTGGACCATTATATAAACTTCGACAAGCATGTGTGCATCCACAAGTAATATTATTAATATTAAGTTTAATATATACATTTTTCTAGTCATATGCTGTGTTTTTAGGCTGTGAATGGACAATTTTTGAAAATCAAAGGAACAATGACTATGGAAAAATTAATGGATTTAATGATAGAAAAATGTTGTATTGAATGTAATGATATACTGCGATCACTTGTCTCGCAACATAATGCTATTGCTGGATTGTATCTTATTCGTTCAGAAGCTGCCAATGCTGTTGAACATTATAGAACTGTATTAAGTTTAATGGAGAAGTATAAAGATAAAAAACTTAAAATAGATACATGTCAGGTAAAATATATTTTCTTTTAATTTGTTTACAATATTTTATTTGTTTATTTTATTTTAATAGAAAATTCATGTAATGTATAATTTGGCTACTGTGTTGGATGAACATTCAACAATATCTCATACTCTATATGATTCGAACTTAAAAAATGATATGGAATTACTTGAAAAAGAATATATTGATGCTAGTAAACAAAATGTAAGTCTGTGAATTTTTAATTATTTTGTTACATTTTACATTATTACTAATCATAATAAGAAAATTATATTAAATAATACATCTAGTAGAAATGAACATAGGAATTATTTTTATTTTCTAATCTGAATTAAATTAAGTTCAAACATTTATTGTACTTTTATTTATCATTAATTTTTTGTGTTTATTTAATAAATATGTGAAATTTACAATTGTATTAAAATTAAAATTAAAATGTATTATTTTTAAAAGTTATTGTCTATAAATTTACTGTAATTTGAGCTAAAATAATGATATTTTTGTTTTGGTCCACTTCTTCTCTAAATTAGTAAATTAAAACTAAATTCTTCGTGGTATGGTTTTGAGCAATTAAACTTAAGGATAATTTTTATAGTATAAGAGAATCAAAAAATCCTTAGAATATTTTAATGAGTTGAGCTACCTTATACTATAAAAAGATAAAAAAATTTGCTATTCTCGTGGTGAATCTAATGAAATGGAAAATTGACAATAGCCACTGGAGTCTTTAATTGAAAGAATTGTATAGAAATAAATGTTATTACGTTGTATTGTCACAATAATGTTTTGGCCTTTTTATTTTTATTTAATAAGCTTATTTTTACTGGCAAGGAAAGGGGATGAAGATATTAATGAAAATTATTTTATAATTTCTAACTATTTTTATTCTTTACTTAATTTTGAACAATATGCTTATTTGATATCCATAAACACTTTAAGTTAATGTTTCTTAATGTACATTTTTAAAAAAATATTCAGAAAATAGTTAGTCCATATTACATTTTTTTAAATTATAAAATTAATTTACATAAAATTATAATATATGGTTTTATATTTTTAGATTGAAATAACTCGTAAAACAGTTACATTTTATTCAGTTAAAGTAGCTAAACTTCTTGAGAAAAAAACATTAGGTTATTCTGATTGGTGGTCTGACATGTTAGATTGGATTTTTTCACCTAAAGATTTTTTAATTAAAGTACAATCCGATTTGGAAGATTACCGTGTGCCTGGTGTACCAAATATTGCAAATAGGTATATTATTATTGAAATTTGATTCATATATTTTGCTTTAAAAATAATTTTTTAAATTTTTATTTATATTTAGATTGAAATCTGTGAATGATGTTTATAATATCTTGGGTGTTTGGCTAGCAGACTTGGACAAAGCAAGAATTGATACAATATCTATATTAAATAATTTGGAAGAAACACCCATGAATGACTTAGTTCAATCTGCATTAATATGTCATTTACGTTTAAAATCTAAAAAAGGTGTTTCTAGAAATAGGTAATTTTATACAATGGTGATAATATATTTTTTCTTTTAAATTTAATAATGGTTTTTTATTTAGATGCTTATTATGTAAAGCAGAAGATCAACTACAAGTATATGAATCATTATTATTTAGTGTTTCCAACAAACAAAAAAACATGTCAGTTGATAAAACTGAAGAAGAAGATAAAGAAACCATGTATGAAAGTACTAGTAAAGGCCTTTGGAAAATGTCTCAAAAAGAATTTTTACTCATGAGTTAGTTTAATTATTAGATTGCACTTCACATATTTATTATATATTAAATATATTTTACAGAATTATTTCAGTATGGGCAAGCCAAAATTATTAATAAAAACTGTCTGAAAGATGCAGCTGAACATATGAAAGTTTTAGAGTTAGTGCGTAAAGAATTCAGGTATTTAAGGTTGTTATGGACTCATCTTAGTGATAGTCTCTCTGCTCATGATGAGATAGTTATGGCCAAGTCAAGGTTAAGACTTGGAGACAATATAAAACCAGAAGCTGAAGAAGATGGTCCACCTAAAAAAAAAACTAAAAGAGAGGATGAAAATGATGTTGTTATGGAACAATATGTTAGTAATTTAACAAACAATAATATTTGATAATAAGGAATTATAATTTTAAATTTTATTTAGGTGGATTATAATATGATATCATTGAGATCTGAAATCCCAAGAACTGAAATTATCTTAGAAAAAAAAATTGGAACTTTACTTTATCTTGAAAATTTAAAAAAAGAGAAAGAAAATTCCACTGAAACCGAGCCATGTCCAATTTGTTGTCTTAATGGAGATTCAGGGGTATTTGGGAAATAAATTATTGAGGTTTGGCTAGATTAGAGTATTGTTAATTTTTTTTTTTTTTTAACAGTGGGCAGTATTACAATGTGGTCATAGTGTATGTAATATATGTTTAGCAACAATGTGTAATCATTCAGATGCTTTTGAAATACCTTGCCCAATGTGTAGAAATAATACTCCAATGAATTCTATTTCCTATGTAAAAAGTAATCGTGATGTTGAAGCATCAAGCATAGTAATCAAAGGGTCATTTTCTACTAAAATAGAAAGTGTCACTTTAAAACTAATTGAATTGATAACTCAAGATCCAAAAGTTAAAGTTTTAATATTCTCTACTGTAAGTTAAATTAATATATTTTATTTTAATTTACAGTGAAACATTAATATATATATGTATATACATTTTTGTAGTGGGAAAAAGCATTAAATCTTCTAGGAGAAGCTTTGGAACAAAATTCTATTAACTTTAGGATACTGAAACCTGGAAATAAATATAAAAAGACATTAAAAGATTTTAAGGTGTGTATATAACTTAATTTAACATCTAGATATCAGTAAATTGTATGTAAACATTTTCTATATAATATTTTTTGTATTTAATATTATATTTTTAAAATGTAGGAAAATGATAAAATAAATGCATTATTAATGAAATTAAGTCTGGGTTCAAAAGGACTTAATTTAACTGAAGCCACAAGAGTATTTTTCATGGAGCCTATAATTAAAAAAGCTGATGAATTTCAAGCAGTTGGTCGAATTCATAGAATAGGCCAAACAAAGTAATGTAGATATATTAAGATTAATATATACTGTTTATTATATATTTTTATATTTTTATTTATTTTTTTTAGACCAACTTTTATACATCATTTTGTTATTCGGGATTCTATTGAGGAAAATATTACAAATATGTTTTCAAGTGATGAATTACAGAGATGGGATGATATTACATTGTCTCAACTAATTAGAGTATTTGAAAGAAATGAATCTAATGAAACACCATAGTTATATAATAATGTGTAAGAATAGTAAATAGTATGTTATTTATAATAGTATATTTGTTAATTTAATAGATTTTTATATTAACAGTACTTTCTATGATAATTTATATTAATAATTCTCATTAAATTTTAATTATACTAATGAACACACAGCCATTAAACATAGAAAATAGTATTAAATTTAATATTTATTTTTTTTTTTATTATTACAAATAATAGATATTAATATTTATGTATTCTTATATTTTACTTTAGTTCTTACTCAAAAACAAGGTGATAATAATTTATAAGATTTTTATATTTAATTAGATACACTTATGTAAAAATTGCTTTCCATTTAGATTAAAGTATATTAATTTAATTTATTTTCGTAATGGAACACACAACACAAAAAGATATTTTTTATTTTTTATTTGAAAGAATGTTCAATTTTAAGAACAATGGTACAGGTTTTACGTTTCTACTCATATTATTCAATAAGTAATGAGCAATTGAAAAAAGACGCGTGACGTCATTGGGCCCTACTCATCATAATTGCCTATCTTATACGTGTAAAAGTTTTTCCCTTCACACGATTTACCAACTTAAACATTTTATTTTTGATATTTAATTTGCGTACAAATGTTTAGTTTTATGTTTTTAAAACGATGCAAGTATCAAAATTTCAATATGACGTTTAGTTTTTCAAATATTAAAGATCTTAAAAGAGACATTTTTGTAATACCTAAGTTTTAGCATGTCATTAATTGTTTGTTTTACAATTATTACTTTAAGCGATAAGTTATTTTTTGCAAATATGTCGAACAGCAGTAAGCGTTTTGTGTGTTGCGATTTTCAAAATGTGAATCGGTAATAACCGTGTGCAACTCGATTTTCGCCGTCGTTACGAGATCGATGCATCAACTTCTTTGAGCATGGTGTAAATAGTTTGAAAAAACAGGGTATTTGTGCAAAGGAAAAAGCACAAGCCGACCTCGTGTATCCGTGTATCTCGTGGAATCAATTAATAAAGATATGCTACAAATAGTATGGAATGAGATTGACTACCGGCTAGATTTTGTGACTAAAAAGAACTTATTTAGAACATTTTTAGGTAAAATTAATTAAACTTGACAAATTTATCTTTTATTTAATGTGTAACATATTGTTCTAACACTAAGAAATAAAATTATGAAAGCATTTGAAATCTGATGAATCATTTTGAATATCCCGGAATATTTATATGGTATATATATATATATATATAAATGTGAATGTAGTGTGTAAAATCCGTTGAATTAGATTGTGGCGGTCAGCGGACCCGTTGTTTGATCTCCGCTCGCCATGATGTTTAACAAAAATATCTCTTTTAAGATTTTTAATATTTAAAAAATTAAACGTCATATTGAAATTCTGATACTTGCATCATCTTAAACATTTAAAACCATACAGTTATACGCAAATTAAATTTTAAAAATAAAATGTTTAGGTTGGTAAATCGTGTGAAGTAGTAGCGTACATTCAATCTTGCTCTGGAGGGAGGGTTTAACTAAAATAATCGTTATCTTTTTTTTTTCGTTGCACAGATAACTGCCATAAATAGACATTATTTTATACAACTTTTACCAATTTACAGTTTACTTTTACATTACAGTAAATCAATAGCATTGGAATATAAAAACAACATACTTTTCAAACACCTATCAATATAATTATTTAATTATTATAATATTTGCATAGTGGTATATTTTAAGTTCAAAACGTAATAATGAAACTACGAATATACGTTTATTATTATACGTCATAAATAATAAAACAATTTTTTTCTTTTTTTTTTGGACCTGAAGGGGATTTTAACCAGGACCCCCCCTCCGTACGTACACCACTGGTTTGAAGTGAGAAACTTCTACACGTATAAGAGGCAATTACGATGTTAGGGCTCAGCGACGTCACGCGGCTATTCTACATTTCTTAATATCTCTTAATATCTCTAGAATGATAATTTTTTTTAAATCGGATTTTCACCAAATCATTTCATATAGCCGTAGCTACAGTAATTTAACATTTAAAAAAAATTAAAAAATTTTTTTTGTGTAGCGTGCTCCTTTAGCTATTAAAATGTGTAAATATTAAAACATATTTGTATTTACTATTTCTATTTTATTTAGAATACAAGTATGTTTAAAGGACTAATTAATTTTTTAGATATATTAGTATTGAACCATACCATTTAAAAAGTTCCTTTATTTTTCGTGTATTCCATATGGATTTAGTGTAGTCTTGGAAATTTATCTTAAATTTTATTTAGCACAATATATGAGTAATTTCTTTGAATTCTTATTACCTACCTATTAAGTACCTATTCAATAAATCAAGAACTATTACTTAGTATTGTATGGAAGAAGACTGATTGCTACAACTGTAGTTAAAGCTGTAATACTAATTTATCACTTACTATATAAGTAAAATACTTGAGGGTAGTCACATAGATAAATTAACAGCAAATCATTTGCATAATTAATTAAACTGATCAAATTAATAAAAATATAAAAAGGATTTATTTACACATTAATTAAATTAATTCATGGATGCATTTTCATGGTCATGAATTAATAATTTTAATTTTAGCCTAAAATATAATATGTTTAATTAAATGTGCATCAATTTTTTGTAAATAGTTTGAAAAAAAACAAACAAAAAAATAAAAAATAAAAACAAAATAACAAAATAAAAAAAAACATCCAAATAAACGCCATTTTAAAACAGCTCTACTTAAAACTCAAACGTTTACATACATAAACGGTGTTAATTAAAGTAATTATTTGAGAAATTCCACATCAAATGTTATAATCTAATATCATGATAATTTCTTGAAAGTTATATAGTTTATAATAGAATCATAAACAAATGGTATTCTTTATTTGATATATGTAATTATGGTGTGGGCATCAACTTTATAATAGCGCTCTTCCCATAGGCGTATCTACGGGGGCTTAGCCTCCCAGTGCGAATATTAGCCCCCCAGAATTATTTGTATTATTTTTGCTCATTTCGTCGAGTAGTCTTATTTTTATTTAGTTTAGTGATTTTTTTTTTTATTGTTGTTTTTGCCCCCCCCCCCCCCCCCCCCCCCCTTTTTTCACCCTACGCCTATGGCTTTCCCCATGATGTTTTATCAAAACGACTAATAAATGTAATGTCCAAATTAGACAAAAAAACCAGAAAGTGTCTTGGGCGACCTTCGGAAGATTATTTATATGCATTTATATGCGTTTAGAAATATAGATTTATTATTTGATGTAAATATTCTTAATTTAAAACATATTTTTATATTATTAGTAGGACAGTGTTGAAAAATTTGAATTGAATATTCTGGTAGAATACGTAGAAATAAAATGGTGTCATTTAAAAAAAAATTAAGTTGTATTGCGCATGCGCGTACAGTCCGGGTCGAAAATTTGAAATTTGTCTGAAATTGTGTATTTTGGTACTCTCTTTCATTTCAATACAAGGTCATCAAACTGAAATATTTAGTGGTATCTCTGAACAGAAGCGTGAACACACTGTATATATATAAAAGTGGCAAACAAATCGAACTAAAAAAAAAAACAAAATATCATCATCTGTATTGTGTTAAAATATAACTCATTCTATTGTTGCGTGCCGTCGCTCAATCGTATATGATGGTTAAGTTTTTAAAGGATAGACTTCAATAAAACACTCAATTGAAATTTAAACTGTTTATTTAATAATTTTTCTAAGTACAAAACATTAATAATGTGGCGTGAAGGTGCTTGCGACTGTACATGTAAACCACATCTGAATATTGGTCTGTTCCCAACCCCCTTATATACTTAGGTTTGGTGACGATCAAACGTGCCGCGCTGGGCGATAGTTGTTTTTAATTATAATAAATAATTTGTCTCTAATGGCTTTTTATTACCTAGATGACCTTATTCGCACTTATCCCATATTTGCCACGATTTTTCCCAGTTACAATCCTACATATAGCCATGCGATTCACACATAGTAATGTACTGGTTTATCTTCTGGCTTTTAGCTAAAATTCATTTCTATTTTTACGACTGCTAATATTGTGTTAATAATAATTATTTTCTTGATATCTACCGTCACGATTTACATGGTCCCGTCCATGTCGTATAAGTCGTAATATTTATTACATACTACCTGTCTTCGTAATATGTGTTTGCTTACCCTCTGTTTAACTAATAGTTCCTTTCTATTATTATTGCGAATATTATATTACTCTCTAATATTTATAATTTATGTGGACCCGCTCGTACTGTAAGAGTCGTAAGGACCTACATTCATGTATGTCCGCAACACTATGCCAACGTTCTGTTTTTGTCTAGCCGAGTCTAGGCGATTACCTGACGGCATTGGTGTTATTTAAATCCAAATTTTGGGGTAGCAAAGTTTATTTTTAGAAAGTTAAAAAATAAATTTTAAAAGGTTCAACATGATAACTGGCTTACTCTTCTTCATAAATCTTGATATGATGTATATACACTGTCTGATTGTCCGTATTGGAGTTATCACAAAATATAATTATTTCGGATACAATATCAATAATAGATGGTCTATGTTCGTACACAGTTGAATAATAAACTTCCAATATATTTTTAAAATCTATAACTTTTTTTGGGGTAGCAAAAAGATACCTTTGCTACCCCACAAAAATTTCTGGGGTAGCAAAGATACCCCTCGATACCCCTTAGTGACGCCTAAGCCTGACGGTTAGGGTACGATAGTTGCCGGCGGCGGCCAGATGGTAATATGTAACCGCCTAAACTTTCCTTTCCATATCATTGTTTCGTGCCGCCGCGCCACGCCGCAGTCTTGATACCGAACTGATTCGCGTACACGGAAACTTTGATATTTCTAATAACTAACTATTTAATTAATTAAATTTTTGAAACTTTCTAATCAGATGGCACATCTGCACACAAAGTCATCGCGTTAAAAAGAAAATGCAAATCAGTCTAGTAGAACTTCAGATATAACTGTTATAAAAATCGCCTCTTCGTTTAACAATATAATTGGTAGGTATCGAAGCTTACGCGAAAAAGGTAACGCTCGAAATTTTTCTCTGCCCAAGCGGAAAAATTTGAATGCCGTATAATATATTTTCACATCGAAAGTAAAACATTGTACCCGATGTGTAAAAGAAAAACTAGGTTAAATTATTTTTCCCACAGTTATTAATTACTGATGATACAGATGGCTGTACAGATTTATTTGTACGATTTTGACAAATGGGCTTCATGGAAACGTTTAGTTTACTTTTACGTCATTGTGGAAAAAAATGGATTATATTGTCAGGTAAAAACAAGAGTGTAAGACGCCATAAATCAAGTTGTGTTTGGAAGAGATAAAAGTTATTAAGTTCATCCGTCGATCAAAAGTAATTTTGACAGAATAATAAATGCGCGTGCTCGTCATTTTTTGTCACGATGACAAATAACGAGAAGTGAAAAAGTTCCGGGTATGCGTTTTTTTCTCATCTTTCCATGAGTAGTTGAATGCGACGCATTGTTTTGGGCTGTCTTCTGCTTTGTCACGTTAATTTATACACGTTCTTTATGTCGCAATATTTCTACTATTATGTTATCATACTACACAGCACAATGCACTGAAAGACGAGTGAACGTAGTAGTTAGAGTACACCTAAAATTGGACTTTGGATTCGATTTTCGGAGGGGTCACAGAAGTAACTACACACTTTTTTTGATCAACATGGTTTGACGCCTCTTAGACACATATTTTTTTAATTAAATCCTAGTAAACGGTATATGTATATTTTTTGTTCTAAAAATACTGTAAAGAAAATGTAATATATTTGAATTTGATTATTCAAATTATATTTAATTGTTCGATGTATAAAATATATATAGGTAGTTATAGTCAAGTAAAATGAGGGCTGTCATTTTGAAAAACAACAACGGTTGAATCGATGAATTTTCTGCTATACCATTTCACCATAGGTCTATAAAATATACTTTTTTTTGTATTATTGTGTTCACGGTTATTGCAAGTCGTTCACCGACATTGTTCAGTCGCAATAAATATTATATGTGCTAAACTTTAGTATTAACTTCAATGTTGTTTTTCAAATGTTGTTAATATAAAATATTATTCATGAAATTGAATACAGTCTAAATAAACAAATTTACTTTTAAATATAATATTAATTGATTACTATGGAGGCATTGTTTTGTTATGGCATCGTTTCATAATGAATCCAAGACATTTAAAAACGAAAAAAACATAAATTTTATTAAAATATTTTAATTGGTTTTAATGAAGTAGTTTTTTTTTTTTATTTGATTCGGTGTGAAATTAGAAATGTATATGTATATGTTTTCTTTTGTATTTTTCGGTGTTGATTTTATTTTTTTGTCTATACTTAACAATTTTTATCACGTTGCTTTTATTTTTTTTTTTTACAGACATTTATACGCATTCGTTTTAGTCCTCATTATTTACATTGGGCACTTTCTCCGTTAGTGCGTGGTAGGTTCATTTCTTTAAAAGTCGATGAAAATCAACCGTCTTGCAGACTCTTATCCACTCAAGTTTTTTTGGTTTCGCCGTAATCCATTCACGTCATAATGGAATACGATAACGTGACCTTTTTACAAAGAACACGTATTCGAGGCACTTGTGCACGTATTTTGTGATCGTACGTTATTGACTTCACCTATTACCTACGTATCTATATGTATTCAGGTGAAATGTTATTGCGACTCCGCCAAGGGCGGATTTAGCATTTTTTTACGGTAGGAGAACTTTATACTAACTTTATTGGCGAAATGATATAATATAGTTGATTATAGTAGGTTTCTTAGGGGAAGGCATAGGCCTCCCCCCAAAAAATGTGAAAATATTGTACTAAAACTGTTAACATTTATTTTTATTATGTATTATTTAGTTCTACTAAATATGTTTATTTAGTATATTTACCATATATTTATATTTCATTTTTTATATTATATATAAAAAATAATATAAATATAAATATATATATTTTTTATATTTTTATATTTAAATAAACTTATTTTTAATACTATTATTTTCCAATGGGGTAGGCATTTTCCCCCCAGTGCCTCCCCCTGGATATGCCATTTTCATCTTATAAAATAATATTATCACCAAGAACCTGATTGACTAGTCAATAATTAAAAAATAGGAATTTTTTTTTATTATTATTTGTTGATAATTATTATTAATAATAATTTTATTTTATTATTATTATTTTGTTTATAATTTTTTAAAAATTTCAAGTAACTTATAGTTTAAAATAATTACACAAAAGTACGAGTACCTATATGTTATACTTTCAAGGTTTTAATAATTATTTTTAAAACTATTATTATTTGATAATAGTGTTTTCAAAAATAAATATTAAAACCTTGAAGTGTAACATATACTCGTACTTTTGCGAATCATTTTAAACTATTAGTTACTTGAACTTTTTAGTTTAAACTTCAACTAAGTTTACTTTTAAGGAATCGTGTAAAATAAAACTACCAAGTTTCACTGTTATTATTCATTTTCAAAAGGGTTTTTTTTAAAGTGATACTTGTTTTGATTATAATTGATTAAATATGGAAATCGTTAACGTTCAAGAGACCGATAAAAATGGGTCATGACAACCGATCAGTGGTGTATCCACGGTGGTTAGGGGGTTATACTCCCCCCCTGAAAATTGGTCAATGTTTAATAATAATTTAATGATCGATTGACATAGCACCCAGCGGTCCTCATTACTTTCAAGATATCGTATAGTTACATTTTTTCTAATCAACCTAAAAAAAAAAAAAATTCTAAATATGCTATTGCAACCGGTAGTTATTTTAACGAAAATTTAAAAAAAAATAGTAAACGTCGATTACATATTTATATGAATAAAATTTGTATTGTATGCAGTATTTATATGTACGTGTAAATAGTGTAATACATAAAATTAATAATAAGTATGTATTTTAAAATCAAATGTATATTACATTAACATTTTATTTTATTTTAAGTTGTCCTTAATTTGTTTACAAACCTTAATCTAAGTTTTTCTGTAACTTCTAATTTTTTTTTTTTAACTTACGTTATTCAGAGAAATACAATTAATTATAAAACAATGATACAATTAGTAGTATCAGTCGTTATGTTATATTTGATAAATATAATACAGACATTAAGGACTTTATTTTTATAAAAATATTAAATTTTAAAATTAAGATATGTGTTCTAATAGCGTTTTTTAAACAAGTGTTGAAAGGAAAAAAAATGTAATGGACCCCTGAGTTTCTTGCTCCCTTTTTATGCAGTTATGATTCATATGTATCATGTATTGCTCAACAAATGGGTACTTACATAACATAATTGTATTAACTATTAATTATTGTGGTATTTGTATCTTCTTCTTGAGCGTATTTTCTCATCCAGTTTTCGACTTTCTTCCTGGAATCGTTCATGGCCTTATGAGACATTTTTGGTTTTCCAAAGTCTAAATTCTTGTTGGCCACACAATATGGTTGTGCCACGATAAAATCTTTGGTGTCTTGTCCGTACAGGGCTCCTTCTAAGCATTTCCTCAGTTCCCAGGCTGTAGAACTATGTGTAAGGCGGTTGTTGTCGCAATTATCATTGTCGTTGTTATCTACACCACAGCTGACTGCATAAATAGTTGTACAAAGCTCCGAAGTTAGATTATTTAATTCCAGGTCTTCCAATGTCCTGGAAGCGACTCGGCTAATCCCTAGAGGTGGGTACACCATACTTACGTCTTTCAGAGCTTCGTCCCAATCCTTGTAGTTTTCGTCGGTCACTCCATTCACCGACGTGAAGTCTTTTTCCAATATCACCGCAGCCATCGCTTCCTTATAAGCTGGTGAAAATTTCGCTTTTTCGCAGTCTTCCGATTTAGGCTCGTTGTACTCCACCAAAATCCGTTTCACATCCTCATCGTCACATTCATTGTATTCGTCGTCGTCGTCGAGTGATGAACACGAAAATGCACCTTTCATGTAAATAGGCACGTATTTAAGGCATTCGTGGACGTGATCGAGGTATTCTACATCGCTTGTTGTTGACTCTGACGACGACATGTCTATAATGTGTAAATTGTAATATATATTATATATTATAAGTACGTGTAAACAACACCATCGTTTAACATCAGTATGAGTATGTGCGCGTCATTATTTACAGTAGTTGCAATACATCGATCGATCAAGCAATCGTACCTATGACAACTGCACCACGACTTATTCCCGTTAAGTTTCAGATTTCATGATAAAAAACTTGATCATTTGCTTAATCTGGTTTCCAGATAAAACGTAAAAATGTTAAGCACGCTCTTCACGTCACAATCACATCATTATTATTATATTGTTATCCAGTATCTTTATAAGTTTTATTATTATCATTTTTATTATATCATATGCGACCTTTTGGTGATTAGATTGCTGCGGGTTTTTTCGTCAACCTTTTGTATTGGTCTATTATCCCCGATAAGTCACACCCCCTTTGAAATACATAATTAAATATTTTTTTTTGATTATATACTAAAATTAAATTTACTGTTTCATTCAGATAATTTATTATAACGTTTTGTAAGTTATTATTTTTTACGCGGAAGAATGCGAAAGCAGTTCCCGCGGCGCCGTCGGTTCAATCAGGGGAAAAAAGAGTTATTATTTTTTAATGTATTTTTGAAATAACTTTATAATAGTATTACATTTTAAACACTTATAAATATCAGTAATTTAAGGCCTAAAGAAAATAATTTAATAAATAAATACTTCATGCCCCCCCCCACAATCAAAGGGCCTCTCTTTTTCATTGATTAATTTTTTTTTTTTTATTTTTTATACTGATGATTATGTATTACATAACGCTATTTGGTGCTACTTTCATATGCGGACTACCGACATATTTTTTCTTACGTGTGCGGTCTACCTTGTAAGACGTAGATTGCAATGATCGCATAATACCTATATTATAATACACCATGTTTTTAGCTCCAATTTTAAAAATATAATGTAATAATAATAATGTTTACATAAAAAAATCAATATAAAAAATAATAATAAATTTACGATTAACTGTCAATAATAAATAAATAAACTGTTACATAGTCAAAAAATTATAAATAATTTTAGCGATTCACTTTTTTAATATCCCTCAGAAATTATATAAATATATCGTCTTTGCAAGCAACCTTCCAACAATAATGGTCGAGATGGGATTGAAGTAGTTTTTTTAGTTGTACCTTCATTGTTTTCATAATCTTTGTCTCTGTATTCAGCCATAATCTCTCTATGCTTTGAGTGTGAGCCCCCGTCGAAGGATCCACGAAGTTTTGCTGATGGTTGACCATTTTATGTATATATCCACTACCATTCAAACATCTATAAGCCGCCCACTGATCAGATTGAATAACAGAGTCAGCTTCACATTCTCGCTGTATAATTGGAAGTAATGTATTTTTGTCTCTCTGAAGTACACAAAAATATCGGCAGTCAGAACCTTTTTTAGACCAAATACCCAAGGTCCATCTACTCTTTATTCATGGTTTCTACCGTTCTGGACTTCAACGTCATTGCCTTCCGATGAAGGGGGTTGATCACCAGCGAGTAACCGACCTCGATTATATTTTTTCTTTCCGGCAAATCTAGCTTCGTCAATCTGTATTGGATCGATCTGAGTTTCCACCATCTTTGATCGACTGTGAACAACATTTGAACATCATACCTCACGACACATATTAAACCAGTTCGTAACTGTCCCTTATCCTCTTCCTGTTAAAGTTGCCGTTGTTGTCAAAGAAATATCTGATACGAAAAAAAAAACTAATTCTAAAATTTCGGTAAGTTGGAGATTAATATTAGACCTATTATTGTTCAAGTCCTCGTAATGAAAAAATTTGTTCTCCCGTCGTATACTACGCGTGGTCTGACATCCTTTTTTTTTTGCACCGAAAAACAGGACGAAAATCACCTCCTCGATCTCGTTTTCTAGCATTAACCATTTCAGAACCACACTTATGACATGGCAATGTTTCTTCGACAGTGTCTAATAAACTTAATAAACTGTGCTCCCTTAAAAATGCAGTGGCATTCTCTTCACTCTTTGCGACAGTCAAATAAAAATCTTTTAATTGTATAATGCACACCGCACACGATATTATACAAAACGGACACAAATATAAATGCAGTACAACACAATCGACGACCACTACATAACTAACAAACTTATTCAATTCGTTATAATGTCACACAGTAATAATTGTAGGTAGGTATCTTTTAATAACAATAGACATAGTTGGAAAATACAAGATATGACATATATCAGAACATTTTATCTGATCAATTTTATTTTATCTACGTGTTTATAATGCAGTTTATCTAAATTTTTTCTAAAATTACATTTATGATGGTAGACTACATGCATTTGTAGTTCATGCATATGAGAGTAGCAACCGTTATTTTTTTTGGTCCAGTCGCCGTCTATATAAGACTGTTTATATACATTTGTCAATTTCGAGTTTTAAGCCAATTTTATTGTAGTAATTACTGACGTAGATTATGCTTTCTTAAATTGTAAAGAATAATATACGAATAAGGATGAATATAATATTATACTTACGACTTTTGTATTTTCCAGCTATTGGGGGAAGAATATCGTCTTATAAATTGCACTGGCCTCGTAAATCTTAGCGTAGCAATAAGTCCCTGTGCTTTGTGAATGTGGTAAAATTAAACTTTATAGGAAACTACCTGGTTACCCACCCGGCTTTGCACGGAACAGTCTTGGACGGAACAGATTTTAATGGATTACCTTACACTATTTAACGCCTCTTAGTTTTGTAACTGTTGGTGTACTGTTATATTATGTTCTCTGCATAATATATTATTTTGTTTTGGAAAGTAACAATTTGATAAGAAATTTATTAGTTCGTGATTACATTAAACGCTATTAATTGTATGTAATAAAATTAAAAAAATAACTGTCTAGCAATTAACAACAAAAAAATAAAACAACTTAATATATCTCATTATTATACATACAAGTATATACATATAGTCTCAAAAAGTACATAATAATAAATTAACGATACTTTATTAACGTTAAGAAGTAATCATAATAATAATAATAATGATAATAACATGTGATAATACAACATTTACTTAATAAATAAAACGGAATTTCAAACGAATCTGTGTGATAGATTTAGTTGTACGCTGAATTATTTGGTTTTCCATCATAGAACCCTCTTTGCCGGTGCTAGTATTTTTTTTAAATCTTTTCTTATTGTTAATCTAGAGTAATGGAGTGACCACTAGGGCAAATTTCATACATTTTGTCGTTTTTGAAGTGTAGCGATGATTAATGAGTGAATGGTATTTGCATTTTTTTTAAATAGATTTTTTTTCAGCGTTACTCGGTAAAAAAATTATGAGTGTTCAACTTCTTTTAGGTGTTGTTCGATGAAGAAGTTATGCCTTTTAAGTGTAAATCACCCAAAATAACTGACAAAATAATAATTTGTATTATACATTTTTATTTTATTTTTATCATTTTAGTATGACACCCAATGTTATCCAAAATAACGAGGTCATTAAATAGTCATAATTCTCTCTTGGACATTTTGAGACAAATCATTATTAAATAAATATTGATAAATGAAGAATAAATAAATAAATAAATATAGAAAATTAAGTCCACAAGATTAGTCATAAGATCATAGAAAAATAATTGATTGTTTACTTGAAGATAACTTAATTTATATTGAGGAAATCACTGATACATAAAAATAATATAAAGTCTGAGAAATAGTTAATAATATTTCATAAGTGGTATTTCAGTTACAAGATTTAAAAATTAATAGAATTTAAAATCCCGTAGATTAACATACAAGTAAATTTACCAAAATTTGATATATTATTTGCTCGTCGACTAAAAACTAATGATAATAAGTAATGAACTTCAATTATATAAAAATAATAAACATAATTTTTTTCTAAATTCGTTAAAATTTCGGGGTGGAGGGGTTCAACCTCCAAAAAACCCTACAAGCATATTCCTGCTTGACATACACCGAGTTCCAGATGTAATAAAAAAGATTCTTCAAAATAATCGCTCATTCTCTTAAATGTATTTCAAAGTATGAGGTATGTTCACACTACTGATTTTCAAAAATCATACTTTGGTCATATTAATGGTTATTCGTTGAGAAAGCTTATACTTTGTACTATTGATATTGTATTCATCTCCATAGAAATACATCACAAGAGCTTATAACAGTATGGCTTCAATTATAATTAACATTTAAAATAATTAAAATATGGTGTTTCAACCCTTCAAAATGTGAATTTCGAAAAATTCTTTCTAAATGAATATATACATTTAGTAATACGTAAGTACAGTCCCTTAACACTTCAAATGATCCGTTACGGTAGATTTGTCTGTAAGTCAGTCAGTCTAGAAAAGTTTGATAATACTATATAATATACATTTTATAAATATTCTTTTGTTAGTAAAAATTACGGGCTATCAAATCATAAATTGACTTAGTATTTCTTCTACATTTAAAACGTTCCTAATTCATTTAGATTACTTTGAAAATTTAAACTTTTGAGTATTAAATCTGCCATAGGTACTAAAAGTTTCATGCTGTAACTATGTATAAGATCGGAAATTGGATATACTATGGTACATTAGAAAGATAATTTTTCAATTTCATTATTAGTTTTTCCAATACATCATATACACGAAAATTGGAAAAAACTGAGATTTAATGTTCAGTACAGTCCAATTAGCGTTTTAATTTATTAAATATTATATAAGTTAAATATTACCAGAGTTTGGTCTTTTTTTTTAAGAGTATATAAGACAAGGCTGACTTGCAATTACTTAATTGAAGGAATTTAATTTGTATACATAATTAATTCATAATTAAACGTTATGAATTGAGATATTTTTAATTAAAATTACAAATTACATTTTTAATGTATTTTAAGTTAAATATTTATTAAACTTATACTACAAAAGAATAAAAAATATTGTCGGCGCATTGTAGACGCACGATAATTGGTGTTATTGATTTTATAGTATACGCCATACCACTGTCAAACTTAGAAGCGCTTATGTGGACGCATTCACTAGATGCCGTTGTAGTCGTTTGCATTCCAAAAACAAGTATATGTCAATAGAAACAATTATTAGTTAAAGGTTAAAAATAATTGGATAATGTATCATATACAAAATGTG